TTTGATTTTGATGTTCAACAAAAGATATACATTGTTATTATTGTACAATGATCGGAGGTGAATCAATTTAAAAATGATCTCAATATTAAAGTTGCCTCGGAGGACCATTCAAAATACGATTGTTTCGTCATGGTGCTGATGAGCCATGGTGGGCTAGATTTTATCTATGGAGTTGACGACAAGATCTGTCTCGAAGGCCTTCTCTTGCCCTTAAGCGAAAATAAATGCAAAACTTTGATTGGCAAACCAAAACTTTTCTTCATCCAGGTTTGAAGTGTTTCACATGTTTGATAATATTGGTTCACCCTTTTATTTAAACCAGGATTTTCCAACATTTTATGAATTTTTGTATATATGTATGTATGTACATAAGTTATATATATATATATATATATATTTGTGTGCGTGTGTGTGTGCACGTGCGAGTATAAAAGCAGAGCCGTAATTTCGTATTTATATTGAAAAAAATTTGATGACGTTTCGGCACTGTTGGTATCTTCTTGTTTCATCGTAAGTGATTTTACTGTTCTTAATATTAGTAAATAATAATAATGTTTATAAAAATTTTGTAATATTTAACATTAAATTTTAAAATAGGATTTTAATTATACTATTTTACTTTTAATATTTTAATATATATAAATAAATATATGTTACACTTATACACCTATATACCTACAATGAAATTATTCAGTTTTTAGAATTTCGAACACCTTTTAAGCTTGCATTTTGTAGCTGATATATTTTTTGAAAAGTAATTTAATCCTCCGTAAGTGGTAAATATATATTTAGGCAGCAATAATGAGTGGCTGAAAACCAATTTTTCATGTTACGTAAAATTTTTTTAATATTTCAAACATTTTTTTTTTGAAAAATAATTCAATTCTCTATAAGTGGTCAAAATAATTTTTTTAGGCCGCAATTAAAACTTAAACGATTTTTTATGTTCGTCCTTTTGTGTTTTTTTATATATTGTTCAATAGTTCGTACAATCATTTATACATACGTTATTGAAATATGCATGCTTTGCATAAATATTAATATCTAGTTAAGCAACGTATACAGATGTAAAATTCCCAGTTACATATAGCAACACCTATCATGCGGCAAACCATAATTTAAAATTAATTTATTACTTTATCGGATGTATTTTTGGCGTTAATTTTAATTAAATAATTTTGTTTAAAAATGTTATGCTTTTGTTGAAAATAAACAATTAATTTTTGAAATCAATCAGATATACAAACGAGGTCACACACAAACCAAAAACAATGCCAAAAGTGGCAAACGAAAATAATAAACATAACACGTGCGGTTGAAGTCTTGTGAGCTCTGGAGATAAACAGAAAAATGTTCAATCACAAAGTTTTCAAAGGAGTCATGTTTTAAAGGTACAATGTACTCACTCCTACCCAGAGAAAGACGATACCGATGATCATGGACAAAAAGGACATGTCGTCATATGATCAAACGTGTTAGAAAACAAAAAAAAGTCAGTACGAACATCATCTAGGTCGAGGACATCATCTAATTTTATACCTAACTTTGTCATGGCATATATATCGAAGAAAGAAGCTATCCCAGCTGATAGTAGAACTATCAGTCATAAACTGATTATTCTCAAATTAAAAGAAGCTCTTGTGCAAAACAAATACTTTGCATTCAATTTCAATGATCTGGAAACACTTTTGCACGTGCTTTGAGGGTTTGGCCTTCTTCTCCTTGTAATCATCATAGAACGTACAGCAGCATTACGTGACACTCTGAAGGTAAAAGATTGATTTAATAATAATAATTATTATTATTATTAATAACAACAACAAATATAATAATTAATATTGTTATAATATAAGTGAGTTGAAAAACGGTTAACCTGGAGACCTTTAAAAGCATCAATCACAGCACCAACTGAAACATCACAGACTGGACAGCTGCAAGAATATTAAAGCAACAACAGCAGCGTTGACAGCCTCAACATCTGAATCAGTGCTACTGCAAGGTGCCAACAAAATCAAAAATATCAAATCATGAACAGAAACAACAACAACAACCACCAGAATCAACAATATTCAACAACAATACAACGATAAACAACAATAATCAGCCACAACAAACAACATCCAACAACAATAAACAGCCGCAACAGCGTCGCACCTTCCCGGTTTTAACGTTCCTGACATAGATACCCTCATTCTCATCGAGAGGGATGGCCGACCTTTTCGTGACGACCTCAATTTCAACTGGAGGGATGTACTCAACTGGACCGCGGATCATCCAGCGGTCGCCTGGCTTGCGTTCCTTGTCCTGTGTGATGATGAGGATGTGATGATGGTGACGATGTGATGATGAGGATGACAATCTGATGAGGATGGTGATATTAGTGATGATGTTGGTGTTATTAGTGGTAATGATGGCGATGATGAATAAGATGATTACGATTACGAGATGAAAATAGGTAAAATATAATATATGATGAAAATGACCAGCCAGCCAGCCAAACAATCAATTAATTAATTAATCCAACGAGCAACCAATCAAACAATTATTCAACCCATTCCCCTTCTTACGCGTCTTCCTTGTTAATTCCAATCAATTAGGTGAAAACACTCTTCAAAAATGTTTCTGACTTATTTGCGATGAATAATTAAAAGATAAAATAACTACTCACGCACACACATAAACACAGACACACACCCAGACAGACGGACCAGGTTGTAGAAAAAATGATTTCTCCCCCTTCACCAACTTCTTCTTGCCCAGCTGGGGCATGCCCTTATCATCGACGGTCAGTGTTGGTCAGTGTTGTTATGTGAACCTCACCAATCATCTGCGGCAATCAGGGGTTGAATAAATTATTATAATTAGTTGTTTGTCAGTCATCATGCAAAGTATGGAAAATGATCAAACAACCTGCAGTAGGTTTATACGTGCTAACAATTGAATTTTCAAAAATAAGGCAAAGAAAAAATGAAAGATTTTTTACTACGATAATAGTGCTGTGTGGGCCTCCGTGTCAGTCGACTTGATCAACCATTCTTCTCCATTCCTCCTCGTCATGCCGAAGACATCTTTGAAGGTCTTTAGTGCAGGGCGGTCTGGTGGTGGAAGTCGAATGAGGGGTGTGTTAAAGTCAGGAAGATGTAATTTAAAACTAATAGAAAATACTCTAAGCTAGCATTACCTTAATAATGTTTGATACATCTAACTGCATCTTCATATCATCAAACAAGAAAAATAACAATTAAAAAATATGTTTTTTCAAAAAAAGGGAAACATACTATAGACCTCTTTAATTTCATCTCATTATAATTCTCGAAAACTTTTATTGTTCGACCGGACAACCAAGAATCAGAATTCTTTAAATCAAACCTAAGTCAAGTCTGACATGACAAAACAATCAAAATATTTCAAAGATGTATATGTTGCAGCCACAAAACTAACGACATACGGACAAGCTTTTTGGCACATAGTGACTTTTAAGTCTTAAAGAGTAGACAATTTACAACCAAATATTTTTTTAATTTTACAAAAATGCGCTAATAAAGCATTATCAATTTCTGTTTCGCTTTTCAAGACGTTTCTTTCGTCGTTAATAAAATAAAATGAAGCGTAAATAATTATAAAATAAAGTGTTAAAACATAAGTAATTAAAATGTATGATCATCTTATACTCATTATCATCAAACAGATATCAACCAGCCAATCACAAACAAAATATTTAAACTATTTCTAGTTTATTCTTAAAAAGGTGCTAGCAAAAATATTTAAAATAAAGAATTTAACGACCAGCCAATCACTCACTAACCAGATATTAATCCATGCAATAGTGAACACGAACAAATTTTTTATACGAATGAGTGTATGAATAGTATTTTCAATTTTGAATGAACGAACGAACGAATGAATAAGTTATTTAATTAATGGGTTAATTGAATTAATTAATGAATGGATTAGCAAACGAATGAACAAGTTATTACAGAAAAATGCGAAAAAAACGGAATGTGGTTTACGAGCGAGTAAATTTATTAATTTAAAAAATTTACGCTTAAAGAGTGTAGGTATTTTTGGTATAATAAAGTTGTGTGCATCTTAGTCGCACATATTTTTTGTTACAAATTGCACGGAATTTTATTTCCCGTTGTTGTCCTAAATAATCCTACATTTATATATGCACAATTTTTGCACATACATACACTTATGCGCAAACACACACATACGCGCAAATCTATTTCTCGTTTTTGTCAAAAAAAAAACAGATTCTGACATTCGCAGAAACTAAAAATAATCCTGCATTTATATTTTATATACGCACACAAACAAGTAAGGAGACACACAGTTACGTCCGTAACACCAGTTTCATGAAAGTGATTTTCAAATTTCACGATCAACGACATATAAATATGGAGTGCCGAAGGACTTTTGAGTTGAAATGGAGAAATTTAAGAAGTTAAAGAAATCATTAATGGATGATGCACATGCAAATTTAAAAACACGTGTTTTAACTTAAAAAAAAATTTTGATTTTAATTGATCGAATAAATGTTAGCGAACGAATTTCGTTAAAGAAATTCTGTTTGTGTTTTTAAATCATTTAAAAAATATTCTGACAGTTATGATTGTTCGCCGGTTTGATTTCGATGCTTGAAAAAATTCGTAACGTAACAGAAAGAGGTACCCCACTGTAGTAAATGGACATGGTGTTAGCGTTATTTTTTAATTTTTATTTTTAATAATGCGCACAGTGGCTTGTTATAATAATGTATAATAAATATAATTATATAATTTATTATATATATATAATTATTATATATTATATATATTATATAATATAATACAAAATATAGTCATAATGATAATCTATAACAACGTTGAAGGCATAAATTTTTTTTACTTCCAAACATAAACAACTTAATTATGATTTTTTGACTTTTTTTGTTTTCTTTGGTTTTTGGCAGTTTGGCCAAATCAAAACATTTTTTGATGATCAAATTTTTTCTTCTGTTTTTGATAAAATTGGTACATGTTGTTGTCCTAATATTCAGCATTTGTAAGCCGTGTAAGTGTCCAGATACAGTATACACAGTAACTATCTTTATTAAAAAAAAGGACTAGCTTTGCTTTGTTTAATTAAAATTTAAATTAAAATTGAAGAAATTATGAATTACTTATTATAAAATAAACATAAAAAAAATTGCTGACAATTTTTGGATAACAAAAATGAAAATTGATTTTTTTTTATCATAATTTGATCATTTTTATTTAGTACAACAATATTATATCAAACCCAGCAACAGTTGTTTCTTATATTTGGTTCAGCCAAATTTTCAAATCTCATTTTTGTTTTTGTTATAAAACACCTTTCTAAATCAGAAAAATTGTGTGGCCATGAACCAGGATCACTGAATTTAATTAAAAAAAAACTTGGATGTATTTTGAAGACTAGTTGTGGCAGTTGTGGGGTCTGAATATAAGTCAACAAAATCTCCAAACAAGTTGCTCAATTCCATGTTAATGTCAGATCAACATTCATTCAGGCTTGTTTTTTGTTGTATTTTTGTTAAAATTTTTATAAATAATTTTATCTTGTAATATGTAATGTTTTTATTTTATTTTTAATTTATTTTTATTAAGATGGCAAAATTTCACGTTTATTTAACTTTAACAGTTTTAACTCATATTGACGTAAAATCAACCTGATCTTATTGTCTTAATGTAGGATTAAACTATTAAAGTTTTTATTTATAGTTAATTATGTGTTTTCTCATGCCTGTATAATAGTTTATAATATAAACTTCATATTGAGTAGATGTGTGTGTATATAAACAATTTCTAACTTCGAGCGTGCTTTTAAAACTACACGCTTATTTATAATAGTCATTACAAAAAATGTTGATAAAAAGTTGAAACTTGTGTGCTGAGACTCTTCATTGGTTTTCAGATTTGGAAATCTTGAAAAAAATTTCAACAGATACAAGGTAAGAGGTCGACCCGTTGGCTTAGCGGTGATAATTGGAAATGACACTTTTGATAGAATGCCAAGAAGAGAGACAAATGCCGTCGATATGGCAAACATGAAGGCTTTATTTAAATTCCTCGGCTTTAAAGTTGAGAAGCATGAAAATAAGACATGCACTGAAATGCTAAATATCATTAGACATGGTTTGTTTAATTTTCGTTTCAATTTTTTGCCTACAATTAAACTTATGCTATTTAGTTATGTATTTCTTTATATTTGTATTAATATATTTCCAATTTCTTTTGTTTCAACACTTTAATTTAAAATAATATTTTATTAATATGTATAACCGTTAACTTGCATCTCTCTCATAATGTAAAAATTGAACTATCATACTGACAGTTGCCACTAAAGAGGACCACACAAGGTTTGACTACTTTGCACTGGTCATAATGACCCATGGGCATCATCAACAGCAGCAGCAGGGCTGTCTGTATGGGACTGATGCTTCAATCCCCATCAGGGAGTTGTTGCTACCTCTCAAAGCAAACAGGTGCAAATCACTCGTTGGTAAACCCAAGTTGATATTCATCGAGGTACTTGGCAGTTTTTTTTATTCCTTAATGGTAATAACTCAACAGTTTCAACATTTTTTATTATAAAAATATAATTTAAATATTCGTGATAAAACATTGTTAGAGTAACTTTATCTGATTTATAATCAAATAGACAAATTACATTTGATCTCAAATTTTCTTTTCAGTTAATCTTTTACAATAATTTTTTCTATTCAGTCATATGCAATCATTGTTATTTTTTGAAGGCGAGCCATCCGTCAGAAAAATGTTGCAGTTATTTTAAGACTGATGCGGATGAATGGTTGGACGAGAATGTTACTCTAGTACCAGTAGAAGCAGACTACTTGTACTGTTTCAGTTCTGTTGTAGGTGAATGTTTCTGTTGTTTACAGGATGATTTTATTCGAAGATAGAGATATATAAATTTTTTTGAAATATTATTTGAAGCTGTATTTAAGTATATTGGAATTTATTATTTAGATTTAAGTTTGCTTGCTAATGTTTTAATTTAGATTCTGTTGCGAATTAGAACATGCCTGAAGATTAGGATATGCCATCTCTCCAAATTTTGCAAAATGTTTAACGTTGAGAATCTTCATGTAGATAACAGACTTTTGGGCCGTTTTAAATATTTGAAAGTATTTCTTTGAAAAATTGGACAGCGAAGTATTTGTTTGAATATTTTCTGATTGCTCGATAGATAGCTTAGTGGTGAAGCATCCAGTTCTGCATTGAAATGATCAGGATAGAATACAAAATTATTTTTGCCTATTGACGGCCTATGGTAAAACGCATTATTTTGCACTTGTGCATTTGCTTCATTCTTGGTTGTAATTTTTTTGTATTATTATAAAAGAACTGTGAAACAAAGCAAAATATTTTCAGTGCCTGCTTCGTCGAGGAACATTTGTGGCAGTTGCTACATTCAAGCTTTGAAGGAAGTTTTTGAAAATTTTTGTCACCAATACGACATCTTGACTCTGTTAACTTTTGTTAACAAAGACTTATCAGACTTTCAATCTTCAAAGCCTGAAAGTGGTCACCACAAACAGATTTGTTCAATTGAGTCGACTTTGACTAAGTTGTTGTTTTTTAATCAATCAGTTTGAAAACAAACATATCTAATTATCATCATCTCATTTTAGTAAATGGTTTGTTTAATTATGTTTTTTGGATTGGTTATGTTGTGGGAATTTTAAACTTTCTTCCAGAAAGTAGATTTATTTGTTATAATGTTTTGTCATGCAGTTTGATTTTTTATATTCAAGAAGTTATTTATTATCTGTTAAAAAAATAAATAGCTTCATTGTCCGGTGAATAATTTTATACTCCAATATTTTATATTACTCAACTTTTATCATGTTTTTTTTTGTTTACAGTTTATGAATTTTTGATTGAAAACGATTCTCCTTTACTGAATTTGTTTTCTAACTTCAACCATTTGTGGTCATCTTATGTGTAAATAACTTATTGTATACCGTCTAGCTGATGAAGTGTTGATAACATTGGTTAGATGGACATCGCTACTTAGATTTATTCATATTTTTAATGTCTTCAATTTTGTTAAGTTTCTGCACTATTAATCTCAAGTGTTCTTTACTTAATTCAATTTGTTCTCCATTATAAAACATTTGTTTTTATTGTACAAATAATTTGTGTTAGGATGAATGGGATATGATTGCTTGTCCGCTCGTTAAAGTATTTCTATGCTGATACTTTAATATAGATCTATGCCAGTTGGTTCTTATTACTATCAGTTCTTATTATTATTATTAACTTATTTTTATTAATATTATTATCTTATTATTACCACGATTATTATCAGTGCTATAGCCGATAATAATCGATTCATCAAATGTAGAATCTAGAATTTGAAACCTCATCAAACAGTGAACTTAATTCAACCGGATCAACGTTTTGGTCATTTAAAAATAAAGTTTAATATTTCTTTTAATAATTAACTCGTACGAGAAGAGAACTAAAGCTTATTAAATGAGAACATTTTGAGAAATTATCGGCAAAAATTACATTGTTGGGGGACCACGTTACGGTTGCTTATATTTCCATTTGTGTAGTTAGATAAATTGGTGTATAGAGAGCAAAACTTAAAATAGATGAAAAACTCGCATTTGGCCGCTTTATATATTTCGCAAATTTAAAATGGAAAACTGTTGAAAAATAAAATAAGTGCTTGCTTTATCAAATTTAATTATTTAATATAATTTTTTCTATAAAAAAATCTTTTTAAGTGCGTGACAATCTTAACATCGTCGTTAAAATTTGAATCTATTTAATTGAATTGAATCTTCGTTTTGATCTATTTTATTTTTTAAAGTAAAAGCATGAAAGTTTTTTGTTTTTGTTCTGTAGCCAAAGATCAACCCTATGTCAACATTTCCGTTAAATATTTTGTCAACACCATAATTTTGGAAATAATAAATCCTTCTACACCTATTTTCTTTATTATAAATTAACTATAAAATATGAACAAGACAGGCACAAGGTTGTAGCACAATTTTCTGTTCACATTCCTATATATAATATTTGGGCAATGAGAATTTTTTTTTCGGGGCTAAAAATAAATTAAATTTATATTTGTTACATTTACACTAATCTCCATATTTTCACGCACAAGTTTGTTTGGTTATGTTTGAATTTTCTGATAATTCAGCAAGGGAACTGACGATGACTGGGAGAGGCCCAACCGCCCCAGCAAATGCACCTACAAACTGAACGGTGATGGTCTAGCCCCTCAAGCCTCACCTCACATACACAGGGACAGGTGTTTCGTTTCATTCTTTTAAGAAATGAAACAAAAATTGCGTCCCAAAGACCATTTTAAAATTACTTTGAATACTCAGCACTTTACTATGTACTATATCGTACAACGTCAGAACTGCTCTAAAAGTGTCATTTATAAGTTTTCTTTTTACTTTATATTATCGAGATAAATATTTCTGTTACAATTATATTTTAACTTTCCCCTACCCTCTCTGCATCATATTAACAAACTAAACTAAGCCGCTACTCATGCCGTTAGCCATAGAATATTAAACTGTTTTGTAATACGACCCACCTGCCAGGAGTTATTACAGAACTGGAAGCATCAAGCCAAACATCCTCTATTGTATGAACGACTCTCCTCTCATAAGAATCAACCGGATAACAAAGAATGATGGAGTACCCTGCGAAATACGTAGGTAGCGTGCTTGCATGTGGTTTGCTGTTTTTTCCAAATGATTCAGATTTTATCAACGAGTTGACAAGCTCTTGAAATGAATTTTTTTATAGAAAAAAAAACCATTTACGAAACAACGATAAAATAATTAAATTCGATAAAACAAGTGTCTACCAATTTAAATTTTTGTATTGTTTTCCATTTTAAATTTGCTTAAAAATACAAAGTGGCGAAATGCGAGTTCTTTAATCCGGGAGGCAGCGTGAAAGACCGCATTGCAGTGAGGATGGTTGAGGACGCAGAGGAGCGAGGGCTGATCCAACCGGGATGGGTCCTCATTGAACCCACTTCCGGCAATACTGGTACGTCGAAGAGTGCTTGATTAAGAACGGTTAAAGGTCTATTACACTCTTCTTAGGTTCAGAAAATCCAACAACACACAAAATTTTTTACGAATACATGCTAAAAGACGCACCACAAGACTGGAATCTTTGTGTAATATTAGAAACCAGTCACTGCAAGCACTGCAAAACAGGGCTAGGTAACTTTAACAATTAAGACATCACGTAGCCCATCACCATCATGTTTGCTGTGTGCTTGCTGTCTGAAATGTTGTTGAACGTGGGGTAATGTATATTGAAAGATTGACAATTTCATCCATATCCGACGATACGTTTCTGCTGAAATTTTGCCGTAAATTTATTATTCTTCACAAAGATCCGTTGACATGTCTGTTCGAATTATGTAAATAATTTTAACAGGCTGTGTTTATGTAATTTTTTTTCTTCAATACAACGTTTATAGGTAGACTATATTAGTAGTATTCAACTTGCTAGACAAGTATAGCTTAAGTAAAAATTATATTTCAAAAAGCGCACATATGAAAACATTGGCTTGTTTCGTGGTACTTATTTCATATCTGTGAATCAGGAATAGGGATTGCCATAACGTGCATCGTCAAAGGATATCGATGTGTCATCGTCATCTCTGAAAAAATGAGCAAAGAAAAGGTAAAGTGTAGTGATTCCATACACATTTGAAGTGTTTTTTATTGTTGTTCATTTTTTTGTTTTTTTTTCTCTGAATTTGACACCGCATGACAATTCTTACAACCAAGTGATTTTATTCACAATATAAACTTATATGTGTTTTCAAAATCGATTATTTCAATGTTATTGACAATTTTCACGATATTGACATGACAACTACCAGAATTTCTGTTAAACTACTTTTTCCTATGTCAAACCAAAATCAAATTAATGCCTTCAAAAATGACTTCGAAATAAAAATCAAAGTCTTTTTCTTTCTCGTGCCTTATCTTTTCAGAACATTGGCGACCATTGACCTCCTGAAAACCCGATCTTTAACACTTTGTAGTAGTTGAAATGTAGTGATATTCAGTGGTAATATTGACAGCAAGTAATGGCAACCTACTGTCTACAACTTTTGCCAAGAAAACACAAAGCAAATCAAAATCAAATTAATGCTTTCAAAAAATGACTTTGAAATCAATATCAAATTAATGCCTTTAAAATGTGACTTTGAAATCCAAATCACATTTTATGAAGGTGGATATAATGAAGGCCTTGGGAGCAGAAATAGTTCAGACTCCGACGAGTGTATCCTACGACGCACCATCATCCAACTACCGGATGGCCTCGAAACTTGCTAACACAATTCCAAAATCTCACATTCTCAATCAGGTGTGTTCTAGTTAATATAAATTAAAATTGACTGGATGCGCAAGTTTCAATCATTGTATTTGCACAAATAGTACTTAATAATATTTTTTAAATATAAGAATGATTCTCAGATCGGACTCTAATATACTCAATTAAAACTCAAGAAAATGGCACTTCAAATATCCTTTAGCAATCTTTTAAATTATCTATTAAAGATACTAGTGAGAATACTCGATGCAGTTTTCTTTCGAAAATAATTAGTGGAATTAGATAGCGATTAGTGGAACACATTAAATGAAAATACAACTGTCGTTCTGATGCCAAATTATTTTTTTACACAACCAAACACAAACTGTGTTGCACTCAAATATTGTTCTCAAGTTTCGCAATGCCTCCAACCCGATTGCCCATTACGACGGAACCGCCGAAGAAATCCTGAATGCCTGCGACGGTACGTATGAAATTCTCGCCTGTGTTTTTTTGAATTAATAAAATTTTGTTCCTCCTACCGTTATTATTCGATGATGCATTTTAGAAAAGATATTGCTAATCGTTGCGCGTGAACTAAATGTTTCAATTTGGCGCAATACCCAAACAACACGAATCAAAAATTGAATTTGTTTTCATTGAAAATAAATTCCAGCCCAAATAGTTGGTATTAACATTAATCGGTTGCTTGTTGAATTTTTAAAAATGGCCTCAAATTTGCAACAATTGATTGATTTAAAACAGTCTTAATAACACGTCTATGTTTATTTAATCACAAACTGCGCAGCAGACATATTGACAGCACCACGCATCTAAGAGATTGAAATATAATGCATCAAACCTCAGGTAAACTGAACATGCTGGTTTGCTCGGCGGGAACTGGAGGGACTCTGTCAGGTATCGCCAGAAAAATTAAAGAGAGGCTTCCCGATTGTTTGGTGCGCCTAATTTTGAATTTAATCGACGTAACTTTTTTCTAGATCTAAGCAGAAGCTGTGTTTACAATGATGAACAGATAGTTATTTTTCACTACAGTTTTATTACGTAGGTATCATTTAAAAATATATCTTATGGACTTTATTCTGTATATTAGCTTTACATATTTTTTATTATAATGCTTTAGTTAGTTTTTTCATTAAATAAAACATTTTGCTAAACTGCTAGGCATTAGAGAATTTATAATCGAGCGTTTCATCGTACAGATTGTAGGAGTTGATCCAATAGGATCTATTTTGGCCACTCCAGACGAGGTCAACGAAACCAGCACAGCCTTCTACGAAATTGAAGGAATCGGAGACGACTTCCTACCAACGACACTCGACAGAAAAGTCAAAAACTTTTATAATTCAATTCATTCTCACCCCATCCCAAATTGTACGCACTCGAAAAATTCGCAGATAGTCGATAAATGGTACAAAGTGGGTGACAAAGAATCGTTCATAATGTCTCGGAGACTAGCCAGGGAAGAAGGATTTCTCTGCGGTACAATATATTTATAAAAATTTTGCTTGAAAAGATTTCACTAATTAATAGATTTATTTTACAAAGTTTGTTCATTTTATTTGACAAAGTTGCATTCGAAATCTAAAAAGTTAATCTTGAATAGAAATTTCAATTTTTCATCGGCGTCCAAACTGTTTATAGTTTTTATAGCTATTTTTAATTAGTAGACAAAATATTAATTGATTCCAATGTCTATGGAGAAGCCTGGAAGTTTGAAAATGTTAACACGAAGGTGGGAGCAGCGGGGCAGCCATGTACTGCGCAATCAAGGCTGCCAAGGAATTCAACCTCACTGCAAACATGAGGGTGGTTGTGCTCCTACCAGACTCCATCAGAAATTACATGTTAAAATGACACTTAATTGTATTTTTCAATGCTTCATTTCAATTCTTTGATTAAATTTGAAAAGTATTATTTGAAATTTATAAAAATTACCAAAAATAGTTTATGATTAATCCCAAGTTTAACTATGTATTGAGTAGTACTGTTTTAAACTCAATGTAAATAGCACTATGATTGATTCGAGAGTTCATTCGACATTCAGTTAATAAACATTTTGTTTCGACAGGAGCAAATTTCTCAGTGATGAGTGGATGATAGCCCGAGCATTTCTTGACACTCAAACAAAAAGTCACGACTATACATGGTTCATAATTATATCATAATTTTACTTCAAACACGTTACTTTTTATACTTTATTTTATTTCAGTCTAAATTATACATTTCATCAAATAACTGAATAAGTTTCAACCGGATTGCACCAAAAACACAAGGTGGCGTAGCAGACAGGTCAGTGTACTTCAACCTCGCTCCATCAAGACGATGCATTGCGATGCGAGGGTCTTGGACGCCCTCAAGTATTTCAGCAGCCACAATTCGGAGATCATTGCCGCTGTTGGCATCTCAGATAAGTTCGTTCGCTTGTGAACGTAAAAAATATTTTTAACTTAAGGTTCTATATATTTTCATGCGTTTTATATGTGAAGCTCAAAGTTTCCGTCACTTCATCTAATATTTTTTGCAAATAATTTCTCTGTTATGCATTCAAGTCACGACGTACTTAACTATGTTTTGTAATTAACTTGACTAAACTTGAAATATTTACCAAGTTTGTTTGTTTAAAAATCTTGTTATCGATTTTCCTATCACATTCCATCGTTTGATTAAGCTGAGACTTTGAATCATCTCCTAACAAATTTGACTTGTGATTTATTTTGAGTGTTATTAGCTCAAGCCGATTATGAATTATGCAAATTAACGTAGAAATATATTTTTTTATTCCAATTAACTAAAGGTTTTTGTGTTTTCAGTTTTTTCCAAGCGTTTGAAATTAAATTGTTGTACATACCTACATTGTTTTATAATAACATCAAGCTGATTAGAAATTTGTTATAACTCGAACCTTTTATTATTTTTTGAGCAATCTTATTATCTCCATTATATTAATAATCAAATTGTCACCAAAATATTACCCCATAGTAAAATTTAAAAAAATTGTTACAAGATAAAAACTTTTCATAAGTTTTTGAATAGAATGGATTTAACGTTAATCGATTGCAAATAGACCTATATGTTTTATGATCATTATCATGCATTTGACGACAACTGAATAAGAAAAACTTGGAAATAAACCTCCAACTAAACAATCATCTCGGCAAAGCAGTGCAGTCGTAGGAACCATCTCATCGGTGCAAGTCATGAGGAGCATCATGGACGGAAGAGCGGGCTGTCCTATTGTCTCCGTCATGAATACGAATTTCAAACAAGTATTTCATTGAAAATACTTTTACGTAGAATGTATTTCAGAAGGAATCTTATAAAAATTGAAATATTTTCCGATCATCTTGGACGACTTTTTCCTTTTTTTATGAGAAAAAGTCCTCATTTTTTAGGTAGGTGACGAAAATTGTTGTCAAACAGAGGCGGATTTACGCACAGACACAACAGACATTTATTTTATTGAAAAGTTATTTCACGAAGAGGAACTATAAAATTTTTCCAGATTTTCAGTTCTGGGTTCGATTAATTAAGCTACAAAGCGGCCGACACTGCTAACGTTTTACTAATTTGGTTCTCGTCCAATAACTTCGAACGATATCTTGTGATTACATTTTCAAAAAATTGATTGTTATCAATTATTTAATTTACTAAGATGATAACTCAATCAATTTATTGTTTGAATCCACCAACGTCATCATTCAATTAGATTGTAGTCCGAGAAAATCTTGGCAGCCTGGCCAGCTTGTTGGAGAAGGAGTGTTGCATTCTCGTCTTCGGCTCTGGTTGATTGATTTTTGTTTTATCATAATTCCATTCATTAATTACAACTGCTCGTTCAATGTAAATCTATGCACACAGACTGCCAAATAGTTTCTTTTAGCCATAATATTTATAAAAAATAATCACAATTTTTAAAGTTTTCTGTGTATATATACTTCCTACCTTTGAAAGCTTTTTTTGGCAAGTCGTCTGAACTGCTCGGTTATTTGAACAAGCTGGACCTGGCTGCCTACATCTACAGGAACACTCCTGCCACTGAACCAGCCAACTTCAAGAGGCCCTGCAGAAGAGAATCCAAAGCATCAAAGAAGAGTTAAATGTCATTCAGAAAGCTCTCCTTTGCCTGATTCGTATGATTACGAAAGTGTGTGCCACGACATCCTGATTCGTACAAAAAAATCGATAGATACACTATTTATGTACGCTACGATTGATGCTCAATAAAATGTGATACTGTGACGTTTCATTTGATAACTTAAATTACCCATCATTCAACAAAAATCTAAAGCACGACAACTAAATTAAATTCAAGCGCATAACAATCTGTTGTTGTTGCTCCGTTGCAAATGTATTAATATTATATTCATTATATTTGTTCACACAACTAAAACGACCTGGTGCGTGGATGTGAGAAGGCTTCATCGAGGTTGAATATAATTTGGGCTTTTCTCTTTCGTCATTAACATTATCTTCTCAAATTTTTAATGTTTCACATCACTTAATTAACCGAAATAACTGACTTCCGCAGCCTATCTTATCAGCTTAGCAGCACATGTCACGTTCGTTCGAAGGAAAGTTTCAATTTTCAAATTTAATCAGCTAATCATTGACCCAAATCATTTTTTCACACAAATTTGAATTTTTCGAAAATTATTATTTTAATTGTTTACACAAATTACAAAATTCTGCGAAAACCATTTTATGTTTGACATCTTATCGCTAAAGCCATTTCATGTGAGATGTCATTCGCTGGTTTGACCCAAAAAAATTAATCACAAAATAATTTTGACGTGTAAAAATTAAGTTAAATCTGTTAAAACTTAATTTAAAAAATTATTCGAAACTACATAAATGGTGATTATATCGTCAGCATCAACATGATTCTATCATTTTTTGAAATTTAAAAAATTCAAATAAAATATTTTTTATTTATCATGTCGGGTGTACAGCGCTTGGCACAACTTGCATGCAATTATGAAACTTTGTTATAGCACGTTCCGTTATCTAGAGTTCCCATTCTCTAATTAGGCTACATAAAGTTTATATTCTGGTTAAAATGATTGTTTTTCAAGTTATTATTATATCTTTAAACATATACACGTGATTCATAAATACCAATTGATTAGTACTATTGAAATGAAATTTTATTATATTTTGAATTATAATTTGATTAAATATTTTTATTTTATCCCTGACATACTTTAACAACAATATGAGAAAATTTAATTCTGTATGATTAGACATTTAAGAAAATGTTCCAAAGTGGTTAAAGTTTTACGCGAAACACTACCGACAACTTCACTGTCATCTTGCATGCACAATCATGCTCTCCGTTGCCGACGAGTTAAAAATTAAATTTCAATGAAACACAAAAAAGACGAAAAAATTAACAAATACCGAAAATTAAAATATAAAAAGTCGACAAATTCAGACAGGAAAATATCTTAAACGAACCCCATCAATTCAATGAGATTGTTAATGGTTGCCACTCATAACGCCAACATAACTTCAACTATCTATCCACCATCCATCTATCTATTAAACATCTCGCTCGTCGGCTGTTCAACCCAACCTAGCAAAATGATTTATTGCCATATTTTTGAAATGCTATAAATGTTTGTACGAAGATATGACAACCAATAAAAAATTGTATGAGAACCTGAAGTGGAATTTTAATATGCATGCGTGTTTAATATATGGCGTGCGTTTATAAATGCTATGATGGTTAAATGCTCTGTTATTCAATAATGTGCACATACATTTCATTTTTATATAAGCTATATATTTAGTTGTCTAATTAAAGTATATTATGCTCAATGTACGATATATGTAATATATATGTACCTCAGACTAGTAATTTAAACATATATTTTGTATTTTATATTTATATTAATTCAATTATATACACACACACACACACACATATAATATATATATATATATATATATATATATAGAGAGAGAGAGAGAGAGAGAGATATGTGTGTGCGTGCGTGCATGTGTTGTGTGTGTGTGCACGCGAGTGTGTGTGTATGCAAATTCTGTGTAAATATCATTCAACTTATCTGTAACGTTCTGTAACTATAAAAGAAGATCATTGTTTAATGTGAACGATGTCAGATGAGCTCCTTCATTGGCTTCGAACAACAACAACGAAAGTCGTCACACATGCTGGAAAGTTAATAGAAGAAAATTATTTTAAAGTTATTTAATATTCATTGTTGAACTTTTACCAGCAGGCAGAAAAAAACTTCTTCATTATTTTGCAGAGGCGTTTTTTGTATTTCACACATCATTCCAATTAATTTTATATTTTTTACCACTTTTTTGAACGACTGTCTTCTAACAATGGGTGGTCGGATGATTTAGGAAATTATTAATTATAATTTAATTGCTCGTCATTGCTTAAAAAATTACTCTGCAATGAATTTTCAAACGTTGTGTCGAACATTTGCATGGATATTAGTCACAAATTTTCAGGTCGGAACGTATCTGTCGGGGATCATCTTTTTCAACACTTTGCTGCTGCCACACGTGGTTAAGGTTTGTATTATTTTTTGCCGAATTGTTATTAAATCACCATCTGTAATACAATTTGCTCTTGCAATATATCTTTTTTTACATCGTTTGACAGATTTTTTTTCTTGATAAAAAGTTTTATAATTCATATTTTCGTCGCTCTATCAAACATAGCAAGATGATTAAGTTGTGTATTTTTGAAATAAGTATCTCTGGTTTAACATGATTGCAAATCTTTCCGTAAGTTTTATATATGCCACATGACCAAATTCTATTAGTTACATTAGAAATTTCGTTTCTAAAGACTTTTGAACAGAAAATATATTAGGCTTACTTCATTTTACAACAGTCTTTTTTTTAGAAGCTAGATGAAAAAAGTAATCAAAATTAAATAGGGAGATGGTTGAGGTTCCCTTAATTCCAAATTCGTCAATTTTGTTTGTTATTAATCAAACTTTTATATAGAGAAAATTGATCAATTTAAATAAAAAATAACCTTGTCATTCAACTGAACTAGCACTTTTATTGATGTAAATTTGATGTAAATTTGAAAATTTGTAAGATGTAAATTTAATATTTATGATCTGTTCATTGTTTGTGCAAAAAATGTGTTTTGAACTTGATTTAAAAATATATGGTATAAAATGTAAGGTTGATATTATCATTGTTGAGCTTCATCATGTTTTGCATGTGCAATGAAGTGATGTGGTTGATATCTCGCTGAAATATTTGAAGAATGATGTTAATGTTGGCTTTGTTGTTTGACATTTATTTTTAAATTTTAATTGAATCGAGAGTTTTAATAATGTTGTCTTTGAAAAAGTCCAGCTTTTATTTTTTTAATTTGACGTGTTATTTTTCAACAATGGAATTTATGAATTGTTAACAGTTGTGAAGTTTGTAGTATATAATAATTAACAATGTTGGTTTTAATTTTAATACTTTCAGTAATAGTGTACCTAAACCGCGATAACACATGAGAATATTGGTGAATCAACTTCAGCAATCGGTAGCTCAAAAATTTCGCATCAATATTTATGAATCTGTAGTTTCTGTCTTTCATTGTCCTCACTCACCTTTCTGTGGGTTTGCTTGTTTCCTTCAAGATAAATCTGAGAACCCAGTGAAGTTTGTTTTAGCAGCATTGTTTCGCAATGTTATGATATTAAATGTTACCAGTGCCTCTATTTTTATTAGACATGTGGCTTCTATTATCTGGTAAAAGTTGAGTTCACTAGTTGTGAGATTAACGTATCTGAGTTAAATATACGGTTGGGTTGTTTGTTTTTTTAATTAACTTGCTAGAGGTGATTTTTTTTTACTGTCACATAAAAAGGTTTGAAATCAAATTTTTAACGTCTGAACACATTCCAGTGCTCTTTAATGTCGGTTGGGCAAATTTTTTTAACAATACAACGACATTTGATTCGAATCGATTGTTTAACAAACGAACAATCATTGAAAAGCCAAAATGGTTTACAAAAACTACGTGTACCCGAGCACAAATGTTTTATAATTGGTTTATGTAAGGCGTTTTGTATGTTGACTTATTAAAATTGGGTTTACAAAACCCTATATACAATAGAAGAACCTCTTTTGAGATGTGTTTAAAAATTTAAAAACCTGCTACGATCCCGTGCCAGGCATCATTGTTTATCATTAATTTTGTTACAACATCTTAAACAACATCTCCTATTACTACAAGCCTCTCTAATCTTTTCAATCTACTCTTGCATTTTTTTAAAAGCTTAATGTTGAAAAAGGAATTTCATCGTTAACTTTCTACACATTCATATTTGTTAGCTCACCAACGAATGAAATGATCTAAAAATGCTGCTAAGACTATTATTAAGATGATGGCAGGTCGCTTGTTTGTCTCGATGCAGCTGATGACTTGTAGGAATAAACCAAAACAATTTTGAATTCACATCATACGGAAAGTCGTCTTCGAACGACACTCTAATCTCAGTTCTGTTTTTGTGTTCATTTTGTTGTCTTAATGATTTATTTCTTCCCACATGTTCTCACACGAGCTCATATTATTGTGCATATTTTATTTGAATTAACAAAAGTTCTATGTAACCATTTATGATATAAACTTTTTAATTTTTTTAAATTTTAAAATGGTTGGCACTTCAACTTTTTTATAGTTTCCTTTAATTAAAAAAGAATAATGATATTTCTTTAAAGATCATTTTAAGGAATAAGTTTAAAAAATTGTATTCGGGATATCCGTTTTTGTTGAATATGTTTCAAAGAACATAAAAACGGAAAGTAATTTCTGTGAGATATTTTGTTAAATTTTTCACTGATAAGCAAAACGTTTGTATATCTTGAATTGAATGTTTTTTTTAGTTTAATTGATGACCATGTTTATTTTGAGATACTGTTGAAACTTAATGGGGCATATATCGCCATCAAATGCACAACCCGTCCGCTTCTTATGTATGTATCAACCTCCAAATGAAATTTTCGTCAGAAAGTTCCAATAAAATACAATACACTTACATTCATGTGAATCACACTTAAGTCAGCACATTATTTAGTTCATTGTTAAAAATGCTTATGTACATATCAACAAACACGCGCACAACATACGCACACCTCACTCACGTACACACACACACACACACACACACAAATACATAATGGAAGTACGTACGTGGTGTGTGTAACTGTGTTAAAAAGTTTTAAAAAATATGAATATCTCCTGCCTGAAAAATTTATTTCTGCAAAAATTACATTAATATTACTAGCGTAGTTTTATTATTCATAGTGAACTTTTTTTTTAAAAATAGATTTAAAGTAGAGTAATTCAAAAAGCATCACAATTACTTATTTTAACTGTCGAAACTTAATGTGGGGATGCTGTCATATGCTGTTTCTAATGCATCACGATTACCTATTAATCGCTCTGCATCAAGCATTAATATTTTATTTAAGTCATTTACCCTCTAATTGATATCATCTTCTCGTTCTTACTTCTCATAAACACTCGTCTCTTTTGACTTTTGGCTCAACTTTCTGGTACTTTCATGGTACTTTCTAATTTATTTTCTAACTACTTCCGACCCCTTGCGGACTTCAGAGGATGGTCTCAAGATACATCTGTTTGCAGATGTCATTAAGAAGAACTGTTGGTCACAACCGAACTTAAGCGTGAAAAATAAATTGTTTGGCTGATTGATTAACTGATTTTGATAAGTAATTGTGAGTACAGAAAAATATATGTTTCTTTGCAGGCGTCATCTCTGGACGGGGTTCAACTGCAAAATGAATCCATTATAATCGGAGATGTTTCCACAACACACATACACGATTCAACTACCTCAACCAGTCAACACGCTGCAGTTCAGAATGATGGAAACGCTTATAGAGATGATGATGATGGTGAAGATGAGGACTATTTTGATCGAGAATATGATGAAGATGATGATGACGGCGACGATGACGATGATGATCTTAAAGGTTGATGCTTTCAAAAAGTTAATTGATCCGTTTATTGATAAAGAGTTTTTTCTTATCATTATCAATTTGCACTCTAGATTTGATTTTGTTTCTAACAAATTCGAACATTGTTCAACAGCTTCAGCGCTGAAATTAGTTAATTTATCGAATGAACTTATTGATTCAGATCAAGCAAACCCTAGTAAAAACTTTTTATAACACTGTTCAAACCTACTTACCATTTAAGAAAGCAGCTTTCAAATAAACTTTTTTCGATTTTCCTTCATCTGTGTGTATGTTCCCATTTTCGCTTTTTCCTATCAATTTAAAAATTTAAAAATAATTGTTCCTCAGTTGGCAGCGGAGATGATGAAGTCTTAGCAGCCGACAACAAAACAGGTCAGTCACCTTTTTTCATGTCTACATTAATTTCAAATATTCAACCAAAGTTTTTGAAATGAATTTTTACGATCAGACTAAATAAAATTTCATCTTTATATCGTAAAAAATTTAACGCTAAAAATATTTAACATGTAAGCGGCTCTGCGCTTGACAGAGCTGCATTATAAAGAATATAAAAAAGAGGAGTGGTTGCATATTTTTCTCTCATCTTTTCACCTCAGTCTTAAATGGTTTGACGACGACAACGACGCCGACAAAGTTGAGATGAGTTTGATGACGTTGATGGTGAATTTGTTATAATATGTGTATGAATATTTGTGGTGAATGATGATTTTATTTTCAAGGACAAAAATGTTATCTATGACAAGCGAGTTTTTTCAAAACTTTGATAACATTCCACATTGTCTAATTAATAACTGAAGCCAATCAATGTTCAACTCATTTCAAACAATTCATTTCACGTTCTTTTTGAACGGTTTGACCAACGAGCCACTTGACATTTTTCGATAATGAGACCTTTCAAATTAACTCGTCAATCGAAACTCTAAAATATTCGCTAATTAATGAAATTAGCAGCCAATCAAATAATTATTTTTACATCATATCACAAAATGAGAGTCCATTAAATTGGGAATATTCATGTATGTATATACAGATTATACATTATTTTATTTATGTGTGCATATTGCATTAGAGTTTGATACTCGTATCATCACAGGCGCCGCCAAAATGTACACAATCACATCGTTGATGTTCAAACGAACGACATCAATTCAAAGTCAACTCTCTCTTTTTTAACTCTTTCATTTGGAATTCGATCGATAGCTCGATGACTGTTTGATGTTTATTACTCAAGAAAAATGCAAACTATGAACGGAATGGAAGATGAGTTGAGGCATTTTGAAGCGAATGTCTTTTTGAAATGATTATCCATCACGTACGTTGTTTATCCTCACATCTTCACTTATCATGTCTGCGAAACCAATTGGCTCGCTGCGAAGCAAGTTACAAAACTCATTTCTGCATATAATAATGTTAATAATGTTACTTTCAATTTTTATGTTTACTTTTAGTCTGTTAATTTTGTACAATTTTTTTAAAGTTTATCGTATATGAAACAAGAAGATCTTTTCAAAATTGTATTCATTAATCTTAACTTCACACATTATTGTCAAAAGAATTCTACCGATAAATGCGAATGACATTGAACGAAATGTGCTCTATATTAATACTTTATATTAATAGTCAATACTTATGCAATATTGTATCAATAATGTTTTGAACAACAATTTGAAAGTTCAAGAGCCCAGTGATAAAAAGAAGCAACATCATTGGCTAACTTCTATGCTATCTTATTAATTTGAGTCTCAAACCTAATTTTTATCTCCAGCATATCTTATCAATGAAATTTCATTGTTGTTAATTATATTCTAATTCCAAATACTCATCTGCTGATTAAAACACTAATTCTATGAATAGAGTTATAATAGTTATAATTAATGCATACACATTATTACCATGTGTTAGTATTATTATCAACCATCGTTTTAAAACATTGTTATGTTAATAAGAAAATATATATTATTAAAGTGCTTGTAAACACACAGTACATGAATAAAATGTGGTTTATAATTACAATTATGAGCGTTTTTAACACGATGTCCACATTTGAAAGAAAGGGCGTTAAGAATTAAGTTATTTGTTGGGTTAAGTTTAGCATAACTGAATATTAGACCAATAAGTAGAAATAAATTTAAGAAAATTGTTTTGATAGTCCTAAAGACATGTGAAGTGCTCGTTCACGCATTAGTTAAGTTATATGAACGCCTAGAAAAATCACTTCATATATAACAGCAGAACAGCCTTCTTGATAGCACCATCATTTCCAGTTCTATCCTCTCATATTTTTGCTTATATCGCCATATTTGTAGATTATATTTTCATCATCATCTAATTGTTCATATGTACTTGTATTATATTGTGTTATATATATATATATATATATATATATATATATATATATATATATATATATATATATATATATATATATATATATATATATATATATATATATATATATATATATATATATATATATATATATATATATATATATATATATGTGTGTGTGTGTGTGTGTGTGTGTGTGTGTGTGTGTGTGTGTGTGCGTGCGTGCGTGCGTGTGTGTGGTGTGTGTGTGTACCTATATTTTCACGTATTCATATACTACCTTTTAGGTGTTCTCTTATTTTATTGAATAAGAGCAAAAATACTTGTCAAGAGTGTGGTAAAACTATAATGCAACTGTAACAAAGAAATTGGAAGGAATGCTATCTTGGTTATTTCAAAGGATGCAATGTAGGCAGAAGTTGAGATTATGAGAATGAAAATGACCTCTAAATAAATCCTTTTTAAGTAGCAAGATGTATTTATTTATGTTTGTACGTAGGTATTTTGAACATTTCAATTAAACTTCAATTAAAATTAAGGTAAATCTTTACAAAAAGAAATGTTCACAGCTCAAATTAATGGAATTTATTAAATTACTCCGGCTGTAATAGTATTATCATAATTTTTATCAATTATTACTTTCAACATCAATTCGAATTGATTTATAAAGTAATAAAATGGCAAATATTTGATGATCTTTATAAAGGGTTTATAAGAACGAATAACGTTTGGCTTCTGTAATAAATAACCTGGTATAAATGTAATAAATAGGTGGAGAATTGAAAGTAGCCTGATGAATATATAAAGATGAATATTTGAATTTATATAAAAGATAAAATACTCATCAAATAATTTTTGTTGAAGATTCTACATTACTTGTCCAAGTTTGAAATGAGATATCGATTTTAAAAAACTAATTTTTAAACATTTGGTCGCAATGTTTATTTTTATTAAACATGAACAGGGTCTGGCTCGAGTGCTAGTGTGTTTGTGAGATGTTTTTAACGAAGGCATATATTATATTAATTATATAAATATATATATATATATATAGGCATATAGATATAATAATTTATCTTATAATAGATGTTGTATTTGATTGGTTTTTTAAATTTATTACAATGACGCACACAAACACACACGAACAAACCCAAATTTTGAAAAAAATTCTAACGGACTCCCTTCACATGTTGAAAAATACAGTCATAAGCACAGTTTGGAAGTTGGAGGTGCTAGTACCTGAGAAGTTCGACCCGCACTACTTGAACGTCGATAGCCATCCATTCATCACGAGGGCGAAAAGGCTGAAAATCGATTTGGGCCAATGTTTGGAGAGTTTCCCGTACTCAAAGTTTATCACTGAATATGAAACTCTTTTCATCGGGTTAGGTTAACTTGGAGAATGTTGTATATTTTGTATCACTTTGTAACGTCACGTCATGAGTATGTTTTTATTGTGAGTTTAAACCAAACCAACAACATGTAGATGTAGATTATGTATTTCTAAGTCCAATAACAAAAGTGGTTTTGATTCCATTACTAATTAATCAATTGTAACATATTGTTAGTTCAGTTGCTTTCTAAAGTTGAAACATATTTGCAAATAACACTTGCAGACCATCATTAGAAATGAAAAATGGTTCCTTAGTGAAGTACTTCATGACCGCCAAAGTGCCCATCACGAAAGACCAACGAAACGATGTGTACCATATAATGAGCGAGGATGAAGAAATTAAGATGCATTTTGAAATCTTTGGTGAATTTTTGGCCAAACATTTGACCAGAGAGTGTACTTTCATCCACACCAGGTCGAAAAATATTGACTACAAAATTCCAGAATTTCAAGTCGTCCTCGAAGGAAGTTGGCCTTAATTTTTTTTATAGCATTTCATTAGTTAAATGTTTTAAAATTTTAATCTAGTTTGAAAAAACTTTGCCTATTTTCCGGAGTGTAAAATTGAACGTTTGAAATGATGTCGAAAAACAGATAGGTGCTGAAAATTCGCTTTTAAAGAGTCAGTTTGCTTAGCCCTCGTTTTTAAACTTCTTTCAATTCGAACCAACGTTTTCAAATTTTAAATAATTTAATTAAGAATTCTGAAAATTATCTCTTGGCTTGTTAGCCAGAAATGAATCTTCGCACGCCTGCATAGGTCTTAAACAAAATAACACACGTACATCTTACACCCAAACATTCTATTTGTGGTAGAAATGACTTTTAACAAAAGATGAAAATTAAGTTTTATCAAGTGAAAAATATGTGACTACTTCAAACTGATAATGCACAAATTTCAACAGTTGATTGAAAGATTAACAGATTAGTTTGATTTCTAATTCCTGAGAATGTAGCAAGCCACAAATATTAAATTTTCATATTAGAAGGTTCGAGAAAACTTTGAAAAAAAATTTCATTATAAATAATTATTTAAAAATTTATTTTTTAAAATTTAACCGAGGCACAGGTTTTTTTTTTTAATGCAAAACACAAACGCTTGTGATAAAAACAAACAAAACACACACACACACAAACAAACAAACACACAGACACTCATATAGACGCCATACATGAGCTCATCACACTTACAAACCTTTTCATTTAACGACCATCATTAAGATTTGATTGGCAGAAACACAAAAGAACTTTGATCATCTCATCAATTTTTGGTTGAACATCAAGCTGGCATGTGCTATGGGGCGATATCATCTTATTTTTGAAGAAAAAATTATGAAAGGAACTGTTACATTATGTGACTTACATAGTTAAATTATTACATTAAATCATAGGTATGACAAAATTGAATTGTATTGGCAGCCATTTATTCTTTGAAATTGCGCTAACTGATGGAAAAACTTATAAAGCCCATTAAATAACGTACAAATTAACAACTTTGAAATTATAAAAAAATCAAAAATGTGTTAATATACTTGATTAAGCGTGCAGACGATTTTATCCATACGAAACCACTTTGAATTTTCATAATTAATGTTTGAATTTGTTTAACTTTTGTGAATAGTAAATGAACGCATTGCTGATCCAAGTTGTATAAGAACATTTGTATGACACTTGTACAACTTTTCCAGCCAACATCACGTACCCAGCACACTGTCCATCCGTCTTTTCATCCGTCTTTTCCGACGATAAGCAGCATTTCATTCGAGACATGGACCCTGTGATGGTCGTCTTCATCGATCGTCCTGTCTGCCTCCAGAAGGTTACTAGCGTCTCATTCACCAGGATCTCCAGGAACTACAACATCTACCTGGCTGTCTGGTCGGTTGAGGTCATTCATGGAGGTGGGCTGTCTCCTCTTTAATGTTTTCATGTTTCTGAGTTGCAACTTGATTTTGTAATTTTTTGTATTTATCTGTTGTTGTTGTTTAAATTTTAAGTATATCTTAATATATTTTTTGTAGTTATTTTTTAAGACGTCACTTTCAATGAGCTTTTATTCCAAGTTTTAATGGTTAACTCAAAGTCAATACCCTAACAAATTTTCAATTTTATGTAGAATGTTTAAAAATATATTATGATCGAAAAAATATTTTGTAAAATTCACAATTAAACCTACTAACTGTTGTGGTGTAAAAGATGAAAAAAGATCATGCTGGATAATTTCAAGTTGAAACAATTTTTAATTTATATCTAAACTTACATGTATAATTATACTTCATTTTTGTTTATATAGGAGAAAAATGTTTGAAAAATCTACACTTTAATTTATCATTTACGAACAAAATTTTTTAAATACTTGGCGAAATAACAAAAATTAACTAGAAATAAAATTTAGCCAAATGCAAAAATTGCGTGCAAACATTCATGATCACTTTGATGAGATGAAAACTTTGAAATGTTACCATAGTAAAACAAAAATAATTACGCTGATCCAATGGCAAGATTTTCACATCATTTACCTGTTCAGAATTTTACATTATCTGTCAGTTTATACCACTATTTGCACTTTCTTTGAGTTAATTCTTATATTTAAATGTTTTATTTCGTCAAGTTAAAAGTTAATCACGTCCTGAGTTATTACGTTTCTTAGAAATTGATCTTTTTAAATTTTTTTGAAGAGAAATATTAATCAAAATAAAATGTTATCTGTCTCTAATTATGATTGTATTAGTCGGAAAACAAGACGAAAGTATAAAGTGTGTATTTGGTGGAACCACGTGTGATCATACTTGTTCAAACACGTACAAATATCTGACATTCGAAAATCATCCACACACAACGCATACACCCACCCACACAACTCGATGCATCGTCACAAAATCTCCTTTAATGAATTAATAATATCAGAATTTAGTTGGCAGACACATTCACGCATTCACGCACCGAAAAGTTTAATGCAAATGAGCCGAGAACTTCGATGAATACACAACACAAGCACATGTACTGTACAATGTATCATGTATTGAATGACCTGGTTTCATATTTTCCTTCATGGACATGAAACTACAACATTTATTATTTTTTTGATGATTTGTTCGGTACATAAAAACTCTTTCATTTTCATCTCTTATTTCTGATAGTTTAATTTTTTTAAGCAATTTCTTATGTGAAAAGCGATAGAGAAGGAAATTCTTACGGAATAATTTTCATAAAAAATATTGAGTTTAAGAGAAAAATTTGCTGAAGTTTATAGTAGCTTTCAAAATAATAAATTTCAATTTGAAGACAAACAATACAACAAACGGAGACATTTTTTAAATCAATTGAAATTTTAAAGCTCATTGAGGAAAAGTATTTTTTTAGTTTAAATAAAGTGAAATTTGTATGTAATGAATTTATGGAGGATGATTAACTTGATTTTATTCATATTAAAAATTCAACATTATTTAAATCTAAAATTCGTTGAATAACTACTGCAGTGTCTTACTGCGGTGTTGTATAGAACATGCCACTTTTTCAAATATTTATAATTAAAGAAACTTGCTACGGATGTATTTAAAAAAATTTATTTTATAAAACTGACAGTTAAACAAATATATCAATTCATGCATTTCAATTTTAAATAATTATCTATTTTACCATCAAATCGCGTCACTGCAGTTATTTTTTCAGAGCACGTGCAGAAGCATTTGTCTTCGAAAACAACAAACACTTAAAGAAATATTTCAAATAAATAATAACCATTATGCTTAGCATGCTGTTCAAAACAACAACTCGGGCAGACACACGTTTGAAGCTGGCGAAGAAGATAGAGCTACCGAACAATTCAACCGGCCTGATAACATACAGACTTCCATCAGCTGCAGTGATGGACGCTGGCCAGGTGCTCGGTTTGATCGAAGAGGCCGCAGATACGACAGACTTTTCAGAAGGAAGCTCACTGTTGCACCACAAGTGCGTCAACTGCCACACGTACAACGTACTCATCGAGCAGGAGCAGAAGAGATACAGCATGGTCATGTCGTTCGAATATGATGAGTTCATGTCAGTTGATGATGCTTTCAAGCTCAAAGTTCTGAAACCCAAGTTTGAATGGCATGCATATTCTTTTGAAGTTACCATGGAGAAGTCTGAAATTATAGGTGAATGGCTATTTTCTCTTCGAAACATACTTTTTTGCATTGTAAGTATTGTTTGTGTTTCTAACAAAGTTGTTTGTTGGAATGTTTTGTTTGAATGAAACTACTTATCTTTAACAAAAAAAAGTGAGGATAATGATGATGATCGATACAACATAAAACATTTAATTCTACCTAAAGAATGAATTTTTAATTTCAAAAGTTTGATGCAGATCAAATGATTTGTTCATTTATTTGTAACGTTTAAAAACAACAATAATAATAATAACAACAATAATATAAAAAAAACGATAATAATAAAATTAATAGATTGTGAGAGCCACCAATTCAAATGCCTGAACAAGTGGTGCATCTTGAAAGAGTTGCAGTGTGATGGCAAGGACGATTGCTATGATAATTCGGACGAAATGGACTGCTGTCAGTTAATTGATTGAATGATTAATTAATTAATTAATTGATTAATTTCTGAAATTAATGGTCGTTCAACGAAACGCAGAAATTATTCAATGTTATACAAAATTTTAAACAAAAAAATTTTCCCAATTTAAATTCTTACAATTGAATTTGAAATAATTCCAAAATAATTGAATTTAAAAACTAGCGCCAAATAAAACTGTGTCGACTGCTACGAAATATCCAACAAATACTCCAGCAACAACTTGGTCGGTACCGATAATTGCGAAAACATCCACAACTCCAAAGCCGAAACGTGGAACAACTCTTCCAACAACATTTCATTCAACAACAACTACACCGACGACAACAACGAAAACGACGACGAAAACAACAACAACAAAAACGACACCAGCGACAACACAAACTGCAAAAAAACTCACAGCCACTCCATCTCCAGTTGTTTCAACAACAACTAAGAAGAAAAAATACACGAAGAAAAAGCCATCTCCAAAAACAACCAAATCTCATAAAACAACTTTGACTCCAACAACAACAACAAAAACAACGTTATCATTGCCAAGGACACCAGGAACAACATCACCATCTCCTTCATCATCAAAACTGGTCAGAGAGAGCAAACGCTGCAGAAATGGATTCAAATGCATCACTGGTCAGTGCATCAGGAAGCGTCAGCAGTGTGATGGAAAGTATGATTGTGCCGACGGATCTGATGAACTCAACTGCCTCAAGACAGGTTTCTTCACGTCTTGTTTACGTTCGGTTCACGGTACTTTTACACTTAATATGAAGCATAAAACACTATTTACAAAATTATTAACTTAATTAGAAAGGGGGCATCTGAATAGGATTTATTTTTATCATTATTAATAAATTATTATGCAACGATGAAACCGTAATTTCAATTTATGTAACCTTACTCACATTGACAACGTTTTGTGATAAAAAATAAGCCTTCCACCTTTCCTAGTGCTAAAATAATTTTCAATTCTTTCAGCTTTTAGTTCTTTTAATAATGATAATGCAAACTATTTTATGAAGCTAATCGATTTTCCAAAATGTAACAAACTTGCAGCCAGGCCAACAACATCAACAAAAAATCCTCATTCGAAAAAGAAATGCAGAAACGATTTTGAGTGTGGTGATGGTCGGTGTGTTGAGCTGAAGCTGATCTGTGATGGCTCATACAACTGTCTCGATGGATCCGATGAACTCAACTGCGATAAAACTAGTAAGATTTGTAACTTATAAACTGTTTGTAGTTCTAACTAATATTTTTTATCTAAAAGTTAAATATGAACATTATATCAACGATACATCCTACAAATATGTATATACCGACACGACATCTATATACCATCTCTATATTTATACCTGTTGATAAACTGGTAGCTGGAAATGTCAAAAATTTATATGAGGCATATCGACTAACTTCACCTCAATTTTAAATTTTACTGCTATTAAATTTTGCTAACGTTGTTTAATAACATTCCGCTCTCTTGTTTTCAGTGTTTAACTGTTAATGTTTTATTCACTTTTGTATAACACGTCTGATCATTATATTACAAGTTAAGATTTAGTATCTTGCTCGCAAAATGTTTTAGGTACTTAAGTTATAAATTCAGTGCCCGATTTTATTAATCGATTCTTACGTTCATTCACAAAACAAAAACCTCAGACATCCATGTCCCCACCAAGAAACCCTCCCTGCACACGACGAGGGTCGCCAGGCGAACCACCAGATACAGTACTTCAAATTATTATTTGCGATTATTTCATTTAAAATTTTCTGGTCAAACTTGAGTTACTACTCAAATAAATTTAGAAATGTTTATTTGTGAATTCGGTTAAATTAGGCAGTTTTGAATTTATTAAATTTTTTTATTAATTTGTGGATCTTTTTTGCTTTGACAATCTTTAAAAACATTTTTCAATTAGTTTCGGATAACTTTTAAAAAAACTTTTATGATTATCATGAAAACAGCCAGTGGCAAGCATAATAAACGAAATGAGATACGAATGATAGCACTGAAATGATGAAGCAAACCCTAACCACGTAGGTTGCCAAGCAGAGGAGTGGAGGTGTGCGGACCAGCAGAAGTGCATCCACGTGGATTGGAGGTGTGACGGCAGACCCGATTGTTACGATGGCAGTGACGAGACCAACTGCGGTCTGTTGCTGCTTTTGTTTGCAGTCGTTAATAAATGTTTAATTCAACATTTCGATCGTACTTAATTTGAGTAATTACCTTTTCGCCGTCAAAAAACACAATTTTAGAAATGCATACACGGTCATAATATTCTGTATGATATATGTGATGCCTCACAAGTCGTTCACATCTGAAAAACTGTTCGAATAGTTAAGTTTAGTTCGCAACCGTGTTGTTGCTTCAAAAACAAATGTTACAATTAACTTGTCATACTTGAAGCTTGAATTGGTGTTTTTAAGATTAAAGTATTAAATTAGACTAAAATAGAAACCCTATTTTGTCTGACTTAAATCTTATATGCAGATGTAATGCAGCTAAGTGAAATAATTACCCAATTAGGCATTTACAATTTAATGACGTACAAAAACAGCGGCTTGCCAGGCGTACGAATTTCGATGTACGAAGGATGACGTGTGCATAGACGAGCGGAAGAAATGTGATGGAGTCCCTGATTGTTCAGATTATGAAGACGAACAACAGTGTCCCGGTCAGTTCTTCATTTTTGAAGTTTGATATAATTTTTTCCATTAAGCACTGAGTATTGAAAGGTTTTCACGCCGCAATGGTAACGAATTCAAATATTTCTTTGAAGCCTAACGGTATGAAGTTTTTTCATATGGGAAAATATTCTGTGCACGGTTACGTTAAATGACTTTCTAAAAAAACTTTTCAACGTTAAACAAAATCCACACGTCTGCTCTTCTTCCATCAGCACTACCGCCTGCCTATCAATGTTCACTCAATGAGTTTGATTGTGGTGGTGGTCAGTGTATCGACCACACGCGTCGTTGTGATGGGCGTCTCGATTGCTACAACCAACTTGATGAATCCAGCTGTCCAAACGGTAACTAAATATATAGAAAACGAATTATGGTGATAGAAAATTAAATATTGTATCAACTCATGAACAATGTTTGTTTACATTATTCGTTGCATTGAGTTTAAGTTCAAGTTACTCAGTTATTGAAAAATGTTTGTCTTAATGACAAACAGCCTGCCAATTGAGCGAGTTCATGTGTGTGGCTGACGGGACATGCTTAGATGAACGGAAGAAATGTGATGGAGTGTCTGACTGCTCGGATAATCAAGATGAGGAGGGATGTGCTGGTTGGTGGAAAACTATTTTTAGCCAATCGGTCACAAACATGTCTCAGTTTAATTTGATGCGTGAATTTTTATTAACTTACTTATTTTCCACGAGACTAAATCTGTAAGCATGAAAAATTAAAGAACACCATTCATTGACGTTATTAACTTGTTAGCCATTTTAAAATTCCACCAGTCCGGCCACCAGACTACCAATGTCCACCACATAAATTTGACTGTGGTGGTGGTGGTCAGTGCGTTGATTACGAGCAACGTTGTAACGGATATCCTGATTGTCACAATCAGGCTGATGAAACTAACTGTCCAACAGGTTTATATTTTGATATTTTATTTAGCTAATTTTAAATTCTATCTATTCGTTCAAATGGCTGCCAACTTTTTTGATTGGCGAGTTGGCCCATTATAGACAACACTTATTGTGTATTGAGTCGTGTCAGGCATGGAATACAAAAAATCCCTCCCCGACTAACCAATAAATAAGTTTGAGTGACGATGTTTTGCAATGGTAAGTATGCATGTTTATTGTAAGTTGTGGAAAGTGAAATAAAACCGCTCCTATATCACGTATATAAATATATATATATAATATAAATATATATTTTCATGATTATATAATGTAGGTTGACCATAAGTGATTTGTTTAATTTTTATTTTACAAACTCATCTTTTTCCGTAACCGAATCAGCAGCCTGCCGAGAAAATGAGTTTAGATGCAGGAGGGATGCTACGTGCATCGATGAACGAAGAAGATGCGATGGAGTACCCGACTGTTCAGATTATGAAGATGAACAGGAGTGCTTCGGTTGGTCTCCGACTTCTTGATTCTTTCGTCCTTAATCATTCTAGTTGCTATTTTTCATTTATTGGCACCATTCTTTTTTTCAACATTTCACAATCACACAATGAGGATCCATGCAGTTATAATTTAACAGTTGAAGGTTAAAGTGTTACTATGTTGGTCGGTTTAACTGCATTCGAGATAAGTATGATAAAACCAGGGAATGTCTGTCAAGCAAGATGTCCTCAAATCAGTTTTCATATACAAACAACAGAAAAAATATGCTATGCATGAAATAAATCAATTAAAAATTAATTAAAATGTATAAAATTAAGGAAAAAATATTTATTAATGAACTATAAAAATTATAAAATTTGATGAGTTTAATGAATATAGTTTTGTTTATAGAAACAAAAGAGAAACCAAACTTTAAAAACGTGCAAGGATGCGTTTGAGGGCCAGTGTAGGAATTATATGGATAAAACTGTAAGATGTCAAATTTATGGCACAAAATGATTAAAAGTAAATAAGTAATTTTTCAAAAATTGATTTTCTTTATAAAAACCAGCCAAAAAATTAATTAATTAGACGTTCTTCCGTTTAAACATTTTTTCTGAATGGTATTTTAGCAAAAATTCTTCTGACAGACAAAAATTTGAAATTTAGACTATCTTATTTACTTAACAAAGCGTTAAATTAACATTTCGAAGTGAAAGTTAAGACGATAAAAATAAACGGTAAATTTTTTAAAATCAAAGTTGAATAATTGTTCCCCAGGTGTCAAACAATTTTTAAACTAATTTTATTTTAAATAAATCTATTTAAAGATAAGAATTTTGATTTTATTTTAACAAATTTTGTAGTTCGAGTCAGCTTTTAAAGTTTGCGTTTTAATAAAAACACCTCAAACTGTTATGAGGTATGGTTACAAAACACATTAGTGTTATGTCTGCCGGCCTAAAGGTGTGTGTATGTTGTTTGTGTGTGTGTGTGTGTGTGTGTGTGTGTGTGTGTCGTATATGTATACTCCGACGCTCGTTTCTAAGTCGGCCGGCATTTGAATGTTAATAATAACTTTTACGTAACAATAATGAAGGGTTTTAAAATGTGGAAAAAATTAAAACTAACTAGTTATTTTTTTATTATCAGATATAATATGTTCAAAAAACTCAATAGAAGAATTAAAATTTTTATTTTTCACAATCTTACAATCAACTTGTAGTTTAATTCACTTGACACAAAAACAGTACCTCTCCCTATCCTACCACCAACTTACCAATGCCCACCGCATGAATTTGATTGTGGTGGTGGTCAGTGCATCGACCACGTGCGACGTTGTGATGGACATCCGGATTGCTACAACCAGCTTGATGAGACAGGATGTCCTGCAGGTCCCTGTTGGATTAATTTTTTGCTACTATAGCTTAAAATACTGAACTACATTTAATTGAATTATTTATTGGTAAATTCCTTTTATGTTAAGTAATTCGTTGTATTCGTTGTGAAAAAATAGGTTTATTAAAATCGAACTTGTTAAATTAGTCTAGATATTTTAATCATGTAATAAGAAATTTTAATTAATTTTTTGATTTCTCTATTCTCTTCATTATCAGAATTTTATATGCGTGTAACAGTATGGAAAAAAAAGTCTTTCACATATATGTTCCTTTTTTAATATATATAATACAAGTTTTTCAAATTTTCTCAACTTTTGTCAATATTTTATGAACCGACGTTTCTAAGACTGTCTAATAAAGAACTGGACAAAATGTAGTTTTTCCAAGCGTTTTATGAATAATGTTGCAAGTAACGTTGTTTCAAATTTTGACTCATCATCTGATGAGTTGATTAATAATTCAGCAGCAGTCTGCCGAGCAGAAGAGTTCCTCTGCAGGAGGGATGCCGCCTGCATCGATGGACGGAAAAGATGCGATGGAGTAACCGACTGCTCAGATCGGGAAGATGAACAGGAGTGCTCGGGTTAGTTTCTATCTAGATTAGTTTTTCATCTATTATTTTGAGAATAAAGTAAACATGAAACGTTCTGCAGACTAATGAAATGATTTTTTATAAATGTTTATCTTATGTAAAATTAAATCAGAAGATAAAAAAAACCCGAATCTAAATGTTGTCTCAACACAAATGCTTTAAGCTCCACCCGATGAGCCAGCAGCCTACCAATGTCCACCACATGAATTTGATTGTGGTGGGGGTCAGTGCATTGACCACATGCGCCGTTGTGATGGGCGTCCCGATTGCTACAACCAACTTGATGAATTTGATTGCACACAAGGTTTTGTTATTTTTAAATTTGAATTTAAATGAATTAAAGTTTTATTCAAAGAAATTAATAATATTAAAATCCATATCTGTCGTTCATTTTCAGTTAAGAACGTATTTTTATAAATCTTAACTGGCAAAGATGCGTCAGCGCTTCGTCTAGTTACGTGTTAATAAATAAAATTTAGTAGGATGACTCATGGCAGGGTTGGATTTAAAAGTGTAAATGTCCAGGCGCAGCAAGGAATTAATTAATTAAATTTTTCCTCACAGTCAAACATAATTTTACGTTCATTTTTGTAGAGGTCACTTCTTTGTCTTTCTAAATACGGCTTTTAGACTCGACAAAAGTTGCATAGCAAATTTGCGATATTCGATTCGAGTTAATTTTCCAAGATTTTTAAATCAAAATACAATGTTTAGTTTTGTATTAATATAATTTTTCATATTTACATCAGTTCCCCCAGTCAAATCACCAGCGTACCAATGTCCACCAAATGAATTTGATTGTGGTGGCGGTCAGTGCATCGACCACATTCGACGTTGTGATGGATATCATGATTGCTACAATCAACTTGATGAGGCTGGATGCCCTGCAGGTTTAGATTGTTGTATTTCATTTTTATGATGTCATTTTAGTTAAAAACATTCAAATTATAAAATGAGCTCCTTGATTTTACTCACTTCACAATTGAAAAAAATAAGCGAATGCTGTTAAGCTTTTAGAAACATAGCGTTGAAATTAAGTTCTGGGTTTGGTGGACAATATAATTTTAGTTAATACGTGGCTTAGATTAATAAACTTTCAAGCAAACAAAACGACAGTTCAAACAATTCAAAGTTTTTCTGAATTTTCATTCGAAACTGAAATTGTTTTTGTTTTTCCACGCCGAACCTGTGTAGTCCCACTCCCTCCCCAGCCACCAGCCTACCAATGTCCACCCCACGAATTTGACTGTGGTGGGGGCTACTGCATCGACAACATTCGACGCTGTGATGGACATGCTGACTGCTACAACCAGGCTGATGAGTCTGGCTGTCCAATAGGTTATGACGAAGTTTCACTGCTTTCAAAGTTAAATGCCATCGCTAAAAAATAAATTTCTACTTAAATTTTTCTCAAAATTATTAAAATCCCGTTTTTCTGTTGACTTTCAACTAGCAGCCTGCCAATCTGGCAAGTTTCTCTGTGTTGTTGACGGCACATGCGTGGAGGAACAACGAAGATGTGATGGAGTGCCTGATTGTTCTGACTACCAAGATGAACTGGAGTGCACTGGTTGGGATTGAACTAACACTTCTTTCTTTAAACTCGTGTTTGAAAAGTATGAAGTTGTAAAATAATTTTTGTTATCAGTTTCTACATCAAAGTTGAAAACACTTTTTGAAATTTGAAGAAAAAAATAATATTTTATTTGTTTAAAAAGGAATTAAATATTTAGTCTTAAATTTATGTTTCTCAGCACCACCAGACCAACCTCCAATCCCACCACCTTCTTACTACTGTCAATCAACTGAATTCGACTGCGGTGTTGATGGTGGTGGTCAGTGCATTGACCACATGAGGCGCTGCGATGGATATTTTGACTGTAGCAATCAGCTCGATGAAATCAACTGCCCCCCAAGTAAGATTTTGATTTTCATTTTTATACGTCACAAATATTCCAGCGACTAAATCGAAATTTTCAAATTGTGGATTTCGGCATGACGTTCTACAGGTTTCGAATAATCTGCCACCTAAACTTCAAAGCAGTAAATCTTTCCATGTTTAAAACACATCTCAAAGTTTTCTTGCTTGAAGATACAGGCTTTTTGCGCTTGATGCTTAATAAATCGCTGTTTAATTATTATTATTCATTCTTTTGTGATTTTTTGTTGATATTAATAATATTTGCTCTTATAAATTGCAAATAATGATGATACATTAACAACTCATTAACATGTTAACGACCCAATTTTACTTGTTTTCTATTAGACTCATTTAACGAGAAATTCCACCAAACCAAATCATGTAGTTAATTATAAATAAGTGTCTACATGTCGTTCCAAAATTTTTCAGTGAAAAATATTTTGTCCGTGTTTATTGGCCAAACCAATTTGTTTTTTCTACAACTAATTCTCACGGTCAGTTTTTAATAAGACAGCCGATGAAATAATCTTCGCCGTAATTAATTTACGAATCACTCATTTGTCACGTTTGTTCAAAAATATGGAACGAGTCTGGCTCTATGGAAAAAATATTATTGTAATTATTTGATAATTATCTCTAAAAGGAAAATTCGTTTGAGGTTATATTAATTTGATGTGTTACTGACACTGGTATTATGTCAATGTGCATTTATGTGCCAATTTACCTCTGTGTAAATGTGGCAATTAATTTTATACCTCTATGCCACTTATTTTACTCACAACAACTCTTAAATCTTAATTAACAAAATTTACTCCATACCTTCATGCCATTTATTATTATTATTATTATGAAAAAAACATGGGCGAAGACAAAATGTTCCTATGTCCGCGACACAAAATTAACAATAAAATTTTAACACATAAACAATGTCCATGAATATATGTTAATATGTTCTGTTCATACATAAAGATCAAACAAAAATAAAAATATAAACAAAAATATAAGAGAATAATAATAATAAAATAATTGTACTCTCTTCAACTCTTACGTAACGAACGATAGAGCTATCCGTACATCCGTCGTTCATTCAAATTCGATCCGGTATGTCGGTTGTCTTCGAATGTGTCGTGCGAGGTCTGCCCTCTGGTGCCAGCGTCCAGATCACCTGGTACAACTCACAACAGGTGTGATCACGTTCATTATTTAATTAATCGTTCGTTCGCTCGTTCGTTCGTTCGTTCGTTCGTTCCTTCATTTATTCATTCATTCATTCATTCATTCATTCATTCATTCATTCATTCATTCATTCATTCATTCATTCATTCATTTCAATCATTTATTTCCATATAAATGTTATAATTAATATTTCTGTTACCATAGCATATCAATCAATATCTTACTTCTGCTATAATAATTAAAATAGAGACTACGCATTTTTAGTTGAAAATACAATTAAACAATTATTACATCGATGCGATTAGCTAATTTGGAAATATAAAGAAATTTACTCGCGTAGAAACTGCCATGGAACGCCGTGGCATACGGCCATCGACTCAGTATAACGAATGTGGATGTTCAAAACACCGATGAGTACTTCTGCACTGGGACTGACCTTCCTGTGGCTAAGGCCAGATTGGTGGTTGAAAACATCGGTACGTCTGCTTGTGTGTGTTTTGTTTCTGTTATGTTAGTTTGCTTGTTTTACTGGGCTTTAGACTGGTCCAACCGTTTATTAAAAATTGTTAATTAATTAATATACTAGACATTTTTCAAGTTATAGATTGTTCCAAAATAAAAGAATGATGTCGAATAATTGAAAAAAGTTGTTTCTTCAACATTAAATAAATTTTCGGAAATAAAACAACACGACTTAGAAACCGGCAAGATGACGACGAAGGGCCAACGAGGCAGACCCCAATGCCAGCCCAATCAGTTCAGGTGCCAGGATGGACGTTGCATCGACATTTCGTACAAGTGTGATGGCTCCTTCGATTGCCTCGATAGGTCTGATGAAAAATCTTGTCCAACAGGTGAGTGTTTGTTAACATTGAAGTATTTATCCAACAAGTTTGCTTTACGATTATAAGGAAATTATTGTCGCAAATTTGGAAAACACATTTAAGATGTTTGGATAAAATAAATTCATCAATTGATTTTAAGCTTTATCACTCATGTTCTTCAAAGTTATTACAACAGAACAGACACAAAAATTAAAGTCCAGTTTTTATTGAGTCATATTTTTTATTTCACGAGCAATTATTTTGTCACTGAGTCACACATCAAGAAACTGAAAGAAATTGATTTAAAGTTTCGCCGTTGAACCCGTAGAAAGGAGAGCCTGCGAGCCAAACCAGTTTGAGTGCGACGATGGTTCGTGCATCTCGAAGATGTGGCTCTGCGATGGAGAGAGGGAGTGTGCAGATCAATCGGACGAGTTGAACTGCGAAGGTTTGCTAATGGAAAAGTTGTTGGGAGGAGTTTGTTGGATGAGTGAATGGTCCTGCGTAGTCGTGAAGTTATTTTGAAATTTGCAAGTAACAAATTGCATTAATTTGAATATTGAGGTTATTAAAATTGTTGCAAAATTTTTGGTTTAAAACAACTTGCAGTTTATCAGTTTTGAAAAACCTTCAAAACTTATTGAGGCAGTAACATAACTAATACGACTCATCAATTTAATTAAAAATGTAATACTTTCATTACAAAATCCATCGAAAATAACCAGGCCAACCCCTGCGATCCCCTCTTCCATTCTCCATGGCTTCCCGAACGAAGTGCCACTCCTGGGAGTTTACGTGCAGGTCGGGCCAGCAATGCATGCCGCTTGGATACCAGTGCGACCGTTCAGTCGACTGTAACGACGGATCGGATGAGCACGGATGCAGTACGAACTTTTTGTTCTATGTGAACGTTACTTTATGTTGTGTGGTGTTGTTGTGAGGTTTATATTTTGCAAGTCGGGAGGCAAATTACACACACTGGTGTTTGTGGCAATGGGGTGTAAAATGATAATTTTTTGACCTGTTCTCGTGTTTGACCTGTTCACGTGTTTTACATGTTCACATGTTTAACTGTTTGTCAAATGTTCTTCTCTTTTTCAAATTTTCCAACAGCCCCTCCTCACGTAGTTGCACCACCGCCCAGTCAGAAGCGAGTAAACTTGGCTGGCCGAGTAGAAATAGAATGTCGAGCGGTGGGCGTGCCAGCACCCTTCATATCGTGGAGACTGAACTGGGGTCATGTTCGCAACGACCCCCGCGTCAGGGAGCACGTCAGGTATGAACCCTCAAAGGACGGACATTCAATTGTAAGTGTTGGGACGATAGTTATAGAGGTGGCCTCGCTGGAGGATGAAGGAGCTTACACGTGTGAGGTGTACAACAACATGGGCTATCTGCTGGCCGTTCCAGACACCATTCTGATTATTGTCGGTGAGTTCTGGATATGATTTTATTTAGTCGACATTTTCGATTTTAAACATTATTTGAATCATTTTGAAATTATTAACGTGAAAAAAAATGATTTCCAGTTTATTTATTGATATAAGTCATCTTATTTAATATTTTTTTAAAGAACGAAGCAATGTGTTTTTGGTCAATTTTCAGTCCAGTTTTCAGTAGAGAAAATATAATTATAATTCACTACGTAGATGACGTAGGCACTCAAACATGTGCTCCACACCAGTTCGCTCCAACGACAGCATCCGAACAATGCATCGATTGCTTCTGCTTTGGGTTCAGCCAGACCTGTACGGCCAGCTCCCTCTATCGTTCTCAGGTTACAATTCAGTACATTTTCATGAGGATAAGCGTTTTCATTGCTAGTTGTACTGTTTAAACAAACGAACATGAAGTTGAAGAGTACCATAGAATTGTGGGTGTCGAATCATTACAAAAAGTTTCAATAAACAAGAAATTGAGAAATTATGAATGTAATTAATATCACGCTAATGTATGTAAACTGACTGCAGATTTACGATAAAATGTGTGTGTGTGTGTATGTGTGTGTGTGTGTGTGTGTGTGTGTGTGTGTGTTTGTCCCTGAAGTGCAATTACTGTGAAAACCATCGAATTTTAACATTTAAAATCATTTTATATTTTCTAAATTTCTTTCTTCAAAAATTAAAACTGAATTCTTTCTGACAGATATGCACATCCAGAGATCACACTGATCCGTACTGTCAGTTTCAAGATGAGTTCAAAATTCACGATCATTTCGGCAACAAATACTGGATACTGCCTCAGATGTTCCTACACAATAAGGTCAATGATGAAAACTTTCCAATCAATTTTATTAACTGCAACTTGTTTTTTGGTTTCAATAATGTATAAACGAATGCACCAATCTACCTGAGGGAACAGATTCATTCAATATCAGAGATTCAATATAGGGGTCGACTACGATCATCAAGCCGCGGTGACCTACACATTCCTAAGTTCATATCTTCTCATTTTGGAAAAAGAAGATTTTCAGTAGCATCTGCCCAGATTTGGAATGCGTTGCCTGCTGATCTAAAGAATTTCAACATCATGATTCGAAGTGAACCTCGGAGTGATCTTTGATGCCAAGCTTAGGTTCAAAAGCCAAATCTTGAAAATTGTTCATAAAGTTAACTCCATGTTGGGGATTGTTTCTAGAAACTTCAAGAATTTATCAGAAGAAGCTTTTGTCTTGTTGTATAAGTCGTTGGTGAGGTCTCAGTTGGAATATGGTGTTCAAGCATGGAAACCTTAAAAAATTGGTTTAATTTTAGAAATTGAAAAAATCCAAAAAAGAGCAACACGTTTAGTTAATTCCTGTAGGTCTCTTCCTTATATTGACAGATTAAAGAAACTTAAGCTGCCTTCACTCGCGTACCGTCGTCGCAGAGTGGATCTTATTTTGCTGATCAGAATGTTACGTGGCGAGATTTCTGTCAAGGCTAGTCCAACGCTACTATTTACGTCCGACGATCGTACGAGAGGACACAACTGGAAACTGACTACAGGACCATGTCATAAAGATTGTCGTAAATTTTGCTTCTCATACCGTGCGGTAGACGACTGGAACAGGCTTGCTTCTGATGCCGTCAACGCTAACATTAAAATTTTTAAATCATTATTAGATTCATTTTTTGGTGACTCCATATTTGATTGGCGTTTGAATTCATAATTGTTCCTTTTACACTATATACATTCAATAGTTATCATCTTTTACACTTTAATTAATTATGTTGTTTTATTTTGTTGTGTTGACTTGTGTATTATTATTTATATATATATAAGATAAGTTTATTATGTACATTACCTATTTTATTTATTTATGGTTTATATTTTCAAATTTCTATATTTTTGTTTGGCAAGGGGTTCTGCCCGTGTTGTTTTGAATAATAATAATAATAATAATAATAATAATACAATATATTATATATATACTATTTATATACAACTATAAAAAATACAAATTGTTATGAGTTTTTGTAGCTAGTCACATTTTTTACATTACTCAATCTTCCATGATATTATAACACCGTTTTTTAAGTCGATAAGACTAAAATGCCATTTATCGAATGATGTCAGTTTCATTATTTTTATCATCATCTTCATCCTCATCATCATTACCATCATCATCATCTTTTTCTTCATCATCATCTTCATCATCATTATTCTCATCATTATCATCCTCATCATGATCTTCATCATCATCTCGTCATCATCTTCATCATCAACTTCATCTTCATCATCTTCATCATCAACTTCATCATCATCTTCATCATCATCAACTTCATCATCATCTTCCTCATCATCTTCATCATCATCTTCATCATCATCTTCGTCATCATCTTCGTCATCTTCATCATCCTGCTCATCTAGATAACAAGTTACGGAGGAACTCTGTTGTACACTTTCTTCTACCCAGGCGTGCATTCATACAACACGAACCTGTTCGTTGGAGCTAATGTCATCATTGAGGTCCCTGCTTCTTTGATCCAAATGACCATCATTTATACATTTTTAAATTTTTTCTAGTTAAAATTATATTTTGCAAATTAGATAACTGAAAATATGTCTCATGTCTTAATGTTTATAATTGTTTGAGATGTTTTTTTACCTGACTGGTGCATTCATTATTAATTATTTTTCTTTTGTGATGTTCACGATAAATAAAATGATCATCAATGAAAGTTATTAATGAATCCAAAGTTTTTAAATCTCAACGCCATGAACAACATCTAACGCTATCTCGCAGGGTGCCAACATGAAACTCTACTCCCTAAGTGGGGTCGACTTTGAACCTGGACACACTCACACTATTGAAATATCACTCGTCGAGGTTCGTTTTGAATTTTTTTTTCTCCAATTATGATAAGGCAACAAAATAATTTAAAAATTATCAACGCGATATTGTTTCTCGTCTGCTGTGTCACGTTTCATTACTGTGATGGTGTAGAGGTAATGCGCCTGGTTTGCTATGTCGCAATCATCGGGTTCAAATGCAGACGTATTATTTGAGTTGTTTTGTAGGTGGGAATCTAGAATCCTCTTTGAAGTGTTACACAAAAGTGATCTGTATCTTTGTTTTTTTAACGTTAAAGGCTTAGTGTTTCACTCTCTGAATTATGAATCTGATCAAAGTTGATTCTAGCTTTGCACTTGAACCGCAACAGAGCAACTGGACGAAAGTGGAGAACGATCCCTACAGGGTGCCAACGAGGAGTGAGATGCTGAGCGTGTTGAGGCACATCCAAAACATTTACATCAACACTTACGTGGGAAGTGATCCCAAGCAGTCCATGTCAGTGGTGTCTTTGCGCTGTTTCTCAATGCTTTTTTACTTTTTCACGTTTGAATGTCTTCAAAATAATTTTTTTTATTTTTTTGTCGCATCATTACAAAAAATTACATTAAAATTAAATAGACAGGTCAAATCTGGCTAAACGTTTCTGTACTCGAACAAATTTTTTTTAATACATTTACGTTAATATCTCTTTTTATTTATCCAAATGAACGCGTGACACAGTCTCCACGAAATAAAGATGACAGTGGCAAGCGAGGAGGATCACGGAATGGGGGTGGCGGGCAACGTTGAGCAATGCAGCTGCCCACCCCATCGTGGGGGCACATCTTGCGAGGTTGGTTCACCCACACTCGTTCTTCGTTTTCTGATAACTTGTAGAATACGTTCGTTTAGCCATTATGATATGTCGTGAACTGTGTCTGCTGAATGTTTGTTACGGAAATTATTATCCTCCGAGAACTACAAAGGAGTGTATATATAATGGTATCATATTTTATTTTTAACTCCTCAAAATATTATATTATATGATAAAAAGAAATATCTAATAGAATGAATCACAATAAAATGTATTTAAAATGTACGATCCTTCTATTTCAATAATAATAATAATAAAGTAGATTTTATTTATTATAACAACAATTCTATTATTTGTCAGTTTCAATCGGTTTTGCCAGTTTATCGGATCGGATAACTTGTTATTCGAATTATTATCTAATTAAAGGTCATCAATCGGTGAAAAGAAGTTAATTTCTTTACGTTATACCCATATTATGTTAGGTATCAGATTTTGGTCATGTAAGATGTTACGTAAGTCATTCTCGAATAATTTTAACTAAACGGTAAAAATGTAATCGGATCGTTCTAAACACTGATAACAAGTGACTAACCACTGTTGAGCAGACCTGTAGCAGAGGTTTCTTCATGTCGCTCCACCAGCCTGGTCAGTGCCTGCCCTGCCAGTGTCCATCAGGCCTTTGCCATCCTGACACGGGAGTTTGCATTGTGAGTCGTTTTGTCGTACGCACATTTCAAACATGAATTACATACGATTTTCACTATCAAATTTTTCGTCTAAACAGTTCTCAATTGGTTATCCTCAACGAGTTATTATCTATGAAATTTTTAGTTGTTATTAAAATGTTTTACATCGGTGATACAATTATTTTATTTTAACACATTTTTTCAATATACCTCGTTCAAATTAACCAGGAATGCACGGATTGCGGTCCCTGTCCTCCGGGAACCTACCTGGCTCCCGACCATGATTACAACACGGATGATGAGTACAATGGGATTGGTGATGGGATCAACGGATCTCCTCGTTGCCTGCCCTGTCCATGTTCCTCTGATCCTGGGTTGTTTTAATATTTCTTCATTTCATATGATATTTTAATTATAAAAAATGTATTATAGAATTTTTAAGCTTTGCAATTGTCCGCACAAAACACAAGAACAAATTTTACCGAAGCGCCCAAATAAAGTTTTGAATTTTCTTCAGCCAAGCAGGCAATCCATCTTGTGCAATCCAAAATGGAAACATCAAATGTGATTTCTGTCTAACTGGATACGAAGGAGACAGATGCGACAGATGTTCGCTCGGCTACGTTGGAAGGTACCACAATAGTTATCTCATATGCGAAGCCGGTTTGTTGTTTAAATTTTTATTGATTTACATGATTTAAAATTTGAAAATATATTAAAACTCAGAGTAAACACATTAATTTAGATCATATTATTTTCTTCCACATGAAACCTTTTGATACCAATACGAGCATTTGTATTAAATGTGCTGTTTATTGTTGAAAAGAGACTAAACGATGTGACGCAAGAGGCACACAACATTCGGTCAATGGTTACTGCCAGTGTAAGGTAGGTGGCATACCGTTTTTTAGTCATTTCTTCACAAACTCCTCGTTTCACACGCAATCTGAACGCATCAGTCAGGTGTGGTGGGAGAGCTGTGCAACACCTGCCGTCAGGGATACTTTGATTTGTCACTCAACCACACAGATGGGTGTTTGCCGTGCTACTGCATGGGAAAATCTTCTACGTGCTCCTCTGCCCCTCTCTACAAACATCAGGTTCTTTCTTTCTCCTTTAATTTGCCATCTATTTTCCGTTAACACATTATTGCATACATTTATTCAAATTGATCGGCGAACAAGTATAGCTCGATTTTTTACAATTCTGCCAAGTTTGCAAACAAGTTGTTGCTAAAAAATCAAGTAATAAAATCACATATTAAATAACAAACATTTGAAAATCTCGACAGTTGTTCTTATCTGCCAGTGACCAAGTAAGCATGTTTGTAAAAAGTTCGCGACAGAAATATGAGGTACCAAAAGATACCTACTCCAACAGCATCCAATTTCATGATGTGTCCTCGCTGCAAACAAACAATGATCTTTACTTTTACTTGCCCCAGTCTTTCCTTGGAAATAAGGTTGGAATTTTTTATTCGTTTTAATTTTAGCATGGTTCAGTTTAAACATTTTCTGGTTTTAATATGTGTTTAGTTCAGTTTAAACATTTTTTAAGCAAAGGTCTTTTGTTAAATGATGTATAATAGTGGCCCTTTATTGGCCCTTCTTTTGAATTATATACATTTGAAATTCGATTAATATCCTTATTAAGTTAAATTGAAATTTCGTATTGAATACGTTTACAAAGTGCCATAATTTATATTATATTGAATATTAAACTTTTTTTTTCACAAAAAAGATTTTAAATGAACAACTTTATAAAATTTTGTTAAATAGTTGTCAAGCTATGGAGGCTTTTTGAGGTTCAATGTCGTGCAGGGATTGAGTCAGATTGGTCTGTTCTATCCTACGCAGTATTCACTGGTTGAAATTCAGGTTGATTAAAATGGTTTTTTTTATTTTAGTTAATTCCGTATGAAGTTGTCTATTTTAAATGAAAAAAATTATTTTTTCAACGAAATTAGCAACCTCTAAAAGTTTGGAAATTAGGAATTAAAGGTTTTAAAAGTCGTACATCTGTGTAGCCATCGTTTTTGGAAGATTGCCAAAAAAATTTCTAAAAAAATTTCAAAATGTCTGATTGACGTTTTTTGATGTTTACAACTGAATGTATCAAACAGGGAGAATATGGAGGCATCGCGTACGAACCAAACCACCAGTTGGAACAATTGACTTCCATGCAAGCTGTTCATTTTGACGTGCCTATAAAGGAGGTGGTGTTAAAAACTAAATCTTCACATAATATTAATCTCTTTTTAGCGCTATTTATGAAATTTTATTGTTTTACTGTCAAGAAGTTGAAATAACTTATTGAATAAATAAATTATTGATTTTGTTATTGAACTTTAAGATATAAAAGCATATTTATTGAATAAAATAACGCCTACCCAAACGACCTTTTGAACAAGTGGACGTAAAATTACTCAGTTAAATTATCCAAATCTTCGCTGCCAGAACATTCAACATCAACAACACACATTACAATGAACAACTTCGCAGACCCACTGGCGGCGAACTTCAGACCACGGGGTGGTTAACAGGGAAGAGATGCTCAACATCCTCAACAAAATCACACAAATCATCATTAAAGCTCAGTTCTCCTATTACATTCTCTACGCTGGGTAACTTATTGTATTGTATTGTATTGTATTGTATTGCAGAATTTGTATAGCGCCTCTTATGAGTTGACTTCATATAGCTTGTTTCGTTCTGATTAATATTAATATACATATTTGACTAAACATTCTTTATAATTTACTCATAATTTATTATAATTTATTACTCAAGGTTAATTTTTAGTAATATTTTTTTTGGGTTCAGCAGCTTTTTGTATTAATTTTTTATCAATGAATATAATTATTTTTTAATCGTCCTGTTTGGTAATATATTTTTCATGAGATTTTTATTACCTAAAAAAATCTGAACCAGCTTGGAGGATGTTTCACTGGATGTAGGAATGATGGAGATGGGAGTGAGTGATGAGCGGATGACTTCAGTAGAGGAATGTCTATGTCCCCCTGGGTATGCTGGACTCTCTTGTGAGGTTATTTCATTGAATGCCTGTTTCAGTTGATCAAATGCCTCATTTTTCATCTAAATTATTTTTTCTGTTCACATTATCACAATTTATTCAAATGCCAGACGTGTGCAGCCGGCTACATAATGAGGCCGTCAGATGGTCCGGATGATGGTAGTTGGATGACCCTGGCGGGCCGCAGAGAGTGCGTCGCATGTTCCTGCAATGGACATTCGGATCAATGCGATCCAGTTGATGGAGTATGCTTGGTTGGTTCGGCAGCTTTCAGTTTTAATTCCTTTTTAATAATAATTATAAATATTTTTTATTTGTGATATTATTAACTAATGATTTTGTGAAAGCAGCTTTGTATCTTGTTTAATTTTCAACGGCTGACGTTTTTGTCGAAATATGTAAGTGTGTTTGTAATGAAATTATAAAGTGTTCTCTCAATTTGTTTTTCTTTTTATATAAAAGTATATAATTATTTTTTGCTTAACTCCAAAATATCAGTAGTTCTTAAGTACTCATAAAAACCGTCTACGATGACAACCGCAGAACTGCCAGCACAACACGGAAGGAAGCAACTGTGAGATTTGTTCACCGGGGTACTACGGAGATGCCACGTCGGGTGAGCCCTACGGCTGCCTACAATGTCCCTGCCTCAATCTCGACCCTCTGCAAAATAACATGTTTGCTTTTATAAATATTTCATCAAAATTTTTATAATCCTTCTTGAACTAAACTATATTATTAATAAAAGTCAGAATTGATTAATATTCTTATTTTCTTATTTGTTCTTATGAAAATTGAGGGCTTAGAAATATTTTTTGAAAGTCTTCATGATAAATTTAGAACTGCGGCGTAAAATTTAGAATATTTAGTAAGCTAGAAACTGTTTAATTGTACGTCGCAAACTTTGATTTGTGTCTTTAAAAAATGATGTCATTACCAGAATTCAATCGTATGTTAGAAGAAACATTTTTAGCCGATTTTTCTCTTCAAAATGATTAATAACAATTCCTCATCATCGTGAATCTCAAGTTTTCTAATTTGCAGACACAATCGTTCGAATTTATAAATTTCAACCAACTTTTCTGAAATGTACATTTCTTTCCAATCGATGCAAACAACCATGACCTTGTCTGCAGAATAACATGTTACCAGAGGGAAAGAGACGTTGTGTGTCTGTGTCCAGAAGGGCATGAGGGGGATCGATGTGAAAGGTGAGGAGGATGAGGAGGATGATGATGAGGATGATGATGAGGATGATGTGACTGAGAGTGAAGTTGAGATTGATGTGGCTGGCAATAGTAATAGTTGGTGATATGACGATCGTGGTGATGATGTTTGTAACGATGATTAGAATGACTTTAAAAGTGATGATGACAACGATGTTGAGAACAAATTTTATTTAATTCATTTTTACCACCACCTTCTTTCTTTAGGTGTTCGGAGGGGTACGTTGGGCCCCCATGCAGGCCTGAGTTTGTTGGTGGGTTGGGTGTGTTGTTTATTTTCTTCAGTTTTATGTGTTAAAATAATTTTGGAAATATTTTGATTTTTTGTTACACGTTGTTATAATTGATGTAATACAAAATGTGAATAATTTTTTTCAAGTTTTTTTTTAAAATCGACCAACGCAATCCAAATATATTTCATCACGCACGTAAGAGAAAGATTATAAACCAAACCAAAGTGTTAACCTAAGTTCCTGCCATACATTTTAAGAAGTTTACATTTCATGTTCATATAAAAAATAATAAGCTTCAATGATCATTGCGATTCATCGCAACGACGCAAGACATGCTGCGAGACATGCTGCGAGACATGCTTCGAGACGCAACCATGCAACACAGTCCATCTAATTGATATGTAGGTGAAAGTTGTCAGTCCCATCAGTTCAACCCCCACCCGTACCAAGAGCCAGCAGCGGCTGAATGTCTCGATTGTTTCTGCTCGGGTGTCTCCACCCAATGTTCCAGCAGTCATCTTTACTTGTCTCTGGTTCGTATTTGTTCTTGTTTATGATGTTATGGTGGTTACCTACCTGGTCTACAGACAATGCGGTTGCCCGGTGTTTCTTCAGTTTGCACATTTGCATGTTCAACTTTTCATATTTATTATTAGTATCTGATTGCTGATTAGTATCTGATTGCTTAAATAAACAACTGAAATGGAGTAAGTATCACCAGACATTCGAGTGGATGTCACTGATGTGGGTGTGGACGGTTTACTTTTATGAAAATTGTCGTCGGATGAACGAGGATGTGAAATGATGTATGACTGAGTTTTTAATTTCAAGTATGACACGACGGATTGAATGTATTAAATAACATTTGAATGAGTTTTTTTGAAAAAATAGCGCTATTTTTTTATTTTTTTCGTTTTTTTTTTGATTTATTAATCGGCATAAATTAGAAAGCAACACTGTTTGCTGGCTTTTAATAATAATGACGACAACGTTCGCAATGTTTACTTCTATAATTTATTGGCGTACAACTCAGACGTAGACTGTAGAAAAATGAATGAATGGGTGGAGTGAATGAACGAATAAAGCAAGGCATGAATGAATGAATGAATGAAAAAATGAATAAAAAATGAATAAAAGAATGAATAAGAAAATGAATAAACGAATGAATAAAAAAATGAATGAACGAACGAACGAATGAATGAAAAAATGAATAAAAAATGAATAAAAGAATGAATAAGAAAATGAATAAACGAATGAATAAAAAAATGAATGAACGAACGAACAAATGAACGAACGAATGAATGGAACGATAGATGGATAGTTGAATGCATGGATAGATGAATGAATGAATGAATGAATGAATGAGTGAATAGGAATAAAAAAGAATAAATATGTTGTCTTAATTTAATTACAAGCCTGACAATGCAACGGTGCTGATGTTGTATGGGACCTTTTTCATTAGGCTTACTTTGATTTATTGAAACATCTAATTATTTTTTTCTCACACAAATTCTACGGTTACGTGTTTAACTCTTCAAATATTCAACATATTAAAAAGTTAGGTTGTTTTAACATTTTCTTATTAAAAATTATTATTTTCTATTTTTTTTTATAAATATTTATTACAAAATCTTTCCTTTTTATAATTTCCCATCGCTGTGCTGCTCAATTATAGTTTAGGAATCAGACAAACTCTTGTCTCGTGCCATGTAGTTCTAGTTTATTTCATTAATCAACCATTTCTTCATTTCTATTGTTCATGTTAAATTTTGTTTGCTCGTACGTTTGTTCATTTGTAGCCACATTTTATTTTGTTGTTCATGGAATTGAGTTCATTGATTCGCTTGTCGATATTTCTTTCCGTGTTTTTCGATGGAATCATTGCCCTTACATTTTTATCTGTGTGCTTGCTTACTTCCATTATTCATGGTTTTGAAGATTTTCAAACTTGCTGAAGTTGCTAAAGAGTGATAAATTTATGAATGATTTTCATTGTGGCAATTTCAACAAACCTTTTAGAATGTTTTTGCACAGAATATTAACATCATCATTCTAATTTATAAAATACATTTCACGTTCAATATTCAAAACATTTGCACGTTTTGAATATAACCTTCTAAACATTTTGTGAACATGCGTGAACAGAACATGTTATGAACATAATTTCACGAACGCATTGCGAACATGTTGCGAACCAGGTGACAGTGGAGCAGCCTATGGTTTTGACATCGCGCGAGGAGGTGTCAGGCATGTTTCCAGCTTCACCAATTGGTCCACTTCTAAGCGAAAGACGCAGGATCACCAACCCCAACAACTACTGGTCCATCGTATCTCAAAACTTCCTCAATAACAAAGTTTTTACACTTTTCTCACACTTACATCTATCTTACCATCAATAATTCATTTTCAATGTTGCTGGGTTTGTTGACTGATTGATTTTGATTTTGAGTTGACTAATTAATTATAGTTTGCCAATAATTGTCTAAACAAATAATTATTTTGAATTGTAACCGTCACTTAAAACAAAAAAAAAAATTTGCTTGCTTAACCACTTCGTTCACCGAACTAACTAGATAACAAGTTACGGAGGAAACTTGACATTCTACTTCACTTACGTGCAGTCACACGGGGCAGGTACATCGCATAGTTCCAAATCTGCGGATGTCATTATTGAGGTAGTCCCGATTTTACATTGTGAAAAATGATAGTGATGATGTCATGATGACGTTGTAAAGGATGTTGACGATTGAACTGTTTGTTGGTTGGTATCCGTGGAACTTGCTGCCGAGCCAAAAATTTTAAAATTATTCATGTTCTTTCAAGTTTATTTGGTTGAAATGCTGAAATTATTTTGCTATTATGAATAGAGGTATTAACATTTCAACACACAAACCAATTATACATATGCCTGATAACAGAATGTGTTGATGCTTGTGATAATATTTGTGTAGGGCGGAGACCACACATTCTATTCAAACATCAAGAGAGCATTTGTGTCAGAAGCAGAAAACACAGTTGTTGTGCCTCTAAGAGAGGTGCGTTTAGATATTCATTCACAAATCGAAGACCGTCATGACATTGAAAATTTGTGGATTCTTGTGATCTGATTATATTTGTATTTTTTCTCAACGACTTGAATGTTTAGATTATCACTCAACTTTTTATTTAGAATTGATGTTAATGCTACAGTCATTATCATTACCGAATACTGATTTTTGTAATGGTATTTTTGACATATCATGAAGCGGTTTTGGAGTCGCGTGGAACATTTTGTGGACCCACCATCAAGGAAAGAATTCATGCAGATGCTCCGGAAGGTCAAGAGTATCAAGTTCAAGTCCAAATTTTCTGGAAACGTTGTAGAAGTCAGGTTGGTTTGTTGACTGGTTGATTGGTTGGCTTGCTAGTTGGCTGGCTGGCTGGTTGGCTGGCTGGCTGGTTGGTTGATTGGCTCTTTATTCAGTCAATTAGAGTTGATTGATGACATATCTTAGTTAGTCTGCTTTTTTGTAGCTTAATTACTTATTATTTAATTTAAAAAAAAACAGTACTGAAAAAAAACTTCAAAATGATTTGTTAAAACTTTAAAAAATTATTGAACTTGTCAATATTGTTATCGTTGTATGCAAAGCCAAGCCAACCACCAAACAACTTACCACCCACCATCAATTGGTCAGTGCCATCCGAGCCTCGCTGAACACAGCGTCCCTGGACAACCTTGGCCTGGGGGAGGCATCGTACGTGGAACAGTGCGTCTGCCCACCTCATCATGCCGGTACTTCCTGCGAGGTTCATCAGTGCTCATCTCTTTATGTTGATTCTTCTTTCGGATTTTAAAATGCATTCAACAAATTATCAATCTTTTTTGTCTACATTAGCGATTAAATAAATATAAAAAATGCAAACCTTCCTACCAATCCTACCATGTTTGCACCGTTTTTTTCACCAGACGTGCAGCACGGGTCACTTCATGTCACCCTACCACCCTGGTCAGTGCATGCCCTGTCAGTGTCCATCCGGTTTCTGCCATCCCGAGACTGGAGCCTGCAAAGTAATGAGTTTCAATCTTATGATTTTAATTATTTCTTCTATTACTTGATTGACGTGGATTTTTTATTATGGATGAATTAAAATTAAATAATTTGCCGGTTGTCTGGTACTGAAACTTGTTATTCAGTTTTGATTCACTTTGTTTAATTTAGTGTTTTCATATTTATATATTTCATAAAAAGTGTTTATCGATAGAAATTATCGCCATTTGTTTGGGTTAAAAGTTTTACACATTTTATAATTTTTAACGTTCAAAAACATATTAGATTATTAGTATTATTTTTTATTCCATTTATTTGTAATTGTTGTTAAATAAAAGATCATTTCATTTCATAACATATATCATTCAAATTCCTCGTATAAGCAAATTATTAACTTCTACATTAAAATTATGAGCCAATAGAAGTAAGATTGCTGCTTTAGTTCAGTTGTGTTAACATCACCACCACAGTACGATTCCAAGCCAGTGCCAGCCACTCCCTCACCAATCCCTCTAGTCCCAGCACCCTGCTCTCCAGGAACCTATCGTCTGCATCAGTACGGGACATCACGCTGCATGGACTGCCCTTGTCCCAGAGATCCTTTCACCGGGTTTGTTCCTCTTGCCCAGTCAAATTTCTCGTATAAGACATCATTGCACTATTTATTACATTTGTGGCCCAACACGGCATTTTTAAAATGTGTTTTGGTAAATTTGAATGAGTTA